GCGGGGGCGGAGCCCCGGGCGGCCCCGCCGCCATGCGACGTGGAGGCGGCGGCGGGGGCGGCCGCGTGCGAGGGGCCCGGCCGTTACATTTGGAATTGTTGTTCTTTATTTTGAATTAAACTGGGCAATGAAGAATTGTTGTTGTTCTCTTTTAGTTTTGGGGGGGGGGGCGGCGGCTAAAGAGCGCTGAGGAGAGGGCCGGGGAGCGCGGAGCTGCGCGCGTGCCCGGGCTGCGCGGAGCGGGACACGGACTCGCGGAGCGGGACACGGACACGCAGAGCGGGAGCGGGTGCTGTGGGACGAGCCCGTGTTGGCACACGGATCCAGGGCACCCCGCAGATGGGGCTTTGCCTCGCGGCGGCTGTGCGTGCTGCTGCAGACACGCCATACGTCTGAATGCCAGAAAAACGAGGGGACGTTGTGGTTTGGGGTCGTCGTAAGTCGGGACTGGCTAAGACGGCAAAGGGGCGCGAGCCCCAGCTAAGCCGGCCCAATGCCGGCACATGGAGGGTGCTGAAACACAGAGCGCCCGAGGCCGGTGGAGCCCCCCGAGCTGGGCAAGGCCGTGCAGGGCGCCCGGCGCGCAAGGTGGCTGACGCCTGCCCCATGGCGTCGCCGTGGGGCGCCGGGGGGAGGCAGCGCCGGTGCGGAGCCCCGCGGCCCTCTGCTAGCCAAGTCGGCCGAGCGAGCCGATCGTGCGGGCCCCAACGTGTGATTTCAGGAGATGTTTTATTTCTTCGTCTTCTCCCTCAGGACTCGGGAGATAGGGCCAGATGTTGAGGAATGTGCAAATTTGTTCCCTTCAGTAATCACGAATTGGGCCGTGACCAGGAAGTGTCAGAAATAAAAAATCCCCTCCCTGCTTCAGCAGCTCGCTCTCAGAAACCCCGCGCGGCATCGGGAGCGCCTGCGAGCTCCGGAGCGGCGCGGCATTGGGAACACGTGCAGGCTCTGGAGCGCAAGTGCAGCATCGGGAGCGCCTGCGAGCTCCGGAGCGGCGCAGCATCGGGAACATGTGCGAGCTCCGGAGCGCAAGTGCAGCATCGGGAGCGCCTGCGAGCTCCGGAGCGCAAGCGTGGCATCGGGAGAACCTGCGAGCTCCGGAGCAGCGGGGCATCGGGAACCTGTGAGCTCCGAGCGGCACAGCATCAGGAGCGCCTGCGAGCTCCGGAGCGGCGCAGCCACTCCGCAGCCGGCTCCACTGGAAGCTTCGGCATCTCCGAGGGTGCCCGCCCTCTGCTCAAGCTCCCATACGGCTTGGGACTTGCATGGGTTGATTCACACATGAGATGGATGTAGACGGGAGATTTTACCATCTCTCGGGAAGCATCGTCCATCCCCACTTGTCCTTCAAACCTTTTGGACCTTGTTCTCCCTGGGGGCGTGTGGGCGGGAAGCTGAGGGTTCCTGCACTGAGCTGAACAGCTCTGGTTTGGTTTTCCAAGAGCCTGGGTGAATCGAGGCCCAATCCCACCCTGCACAAGGTGCCACAGGGATGTTTCAGTCATATGTGAGTGTCTGTGGTGCAAACATTCCCGGCCGGTGGGCACGTGCAGGGGGACAGCACCTCAGGCCTGAACAGGGGAAAACAGTCGGTCTCCTTTTTCTGAAGGAGAGTACAGGAAGGACTGGAATCGGTAAAGCAAAAGGTACCTTTCAGTGTTACATTCCCTTCTGGAAAAGGCAGCACCAAAAATGGGAGCTGATAAAAATCTGTCACTGAGTGCTGAGGGTCAGTAACTGGCTCTCTTGAGAGCAGTGTTTTTCATGGGACGCAGGTTTGTCATCGCCGACAAGGAGCAGGGGGAAGCTGCCTTCCCGGGAAGGCTAACACGTATGTCGGAGCAGGCCGGAATGTGTGGCTGGGCCAGATCCTCCATTCCCACCGTCCCTGCGGGCGGCCGCCGCGTGCTCTGGCCGCGTTCCTGCAGCCGGAGGCTCCTCCTGCGATGCACACGGGCACCGCACGGAGCAGCGGATCCTGCAGCCCGCGCCAGGGAGCTCCTGGGAGGCACTGAGCACACGCACTGAGCCTGAGCTTAGCCTGAAACCTAGGCTGGGTTTCACGGTCTGAGCCGCTTCCTTCTGAAGTGCAGCGCGTTGAAAGCGGGGCCCCGGGAGCAGGGGGAGCCTCGCAGCCGCCCAGGAACAGGTTTCCCACGAGCAGCGGAGGCGGCGGTTCGTGTGAGGGGCCCTCGTGGGGACCCACCGTGGGGACCCACCGTGGGGACCCGCTGCAGGGACCCGCCGCCTCTCGTGCCCTTCGGGGAAGGGGAACCGTGAGCAAAGAGCTGTGCCCGGTTTGCTTCCCTTGCTGGGCTGCAGCAAGCGAGCGCTTTCACGCACAAGCAGGAAGACGTCTCTCAGGGAGCAGGTTGTTTCTCTCAGGAGCGGGATCCTGAAGGGACTGGGAATGTGAGCCCGGATTTGCTCCCTCTGGCACGTGGCACCCACCCTCAGCCCATCGAACACCAGCCGCTCTGGGATGGTAAATCCCCCTCGCCCTCAGGCTGGGGCTGGGAAAGGAGGCTTAAATAACCCATAACTGGGAGTGAGAGAGGATAATGTCAAGGATCCTCAAAGCAGCTTCCCCCGGAAGAACTTGGTGAATTTGCCTTTCCGCCATTGGGCTCACAAAGGCAATTCCAGTTGTGATACCTGCAGCCAGGGAGCGAGGGCGGGCACAAGGCTTGGATGAGACTGTCAAAAACACTTCACGGTGAGATCCAGGAAGCTGGAATTGCAGAGCTGCCGCTTTCCACGTTCTGCAGCTGCTGAGTCAAAGCAAGCAGGGGAGGCGTCGGGTTCTGCTCCCGGGAAGCCCCACTGGCTTCAAAGTGCTCTTGGAAATGAGATTAGTGGTATTCCTAAAGGTCACTGCTGAAAACAAGCGCAGGGGTATTGGGGTATTACATGGTGAGGAAGATGTGCTGCTCTCGTTCCAAATGGCAAGAGTCAAATCTTAAAACTGAGACTTACGAAGGTGGCACCGAACAACAGATTCATTGAAGCCATATATGTGTGTACCACGAGAAATGCAAAAGGGAGCCAGAACAGGTAAAGGACGGTAAAAACAGAAATCCCACTGCTTCACCCATGGGGGGAATCTCACCGCAAGCAGGACAAGGGCTGCCAGAAAGGGAGCTCCCTTTTCCTCCTCATCCCTTCTTCCCTTCTCCTCACCAGAGGATGTAAAGTTAACCAAGGCAAGCTCCTATCCACCGTGCCAGAGACTCGACTAATGTCTGTTTCTTTTCCCTGCAAACGTTGTTCTTCAGATCTCTAGGAAACCAATGCTCTGGTGGAACAGAAATATCTTGGAATAGAAGTATCTATTTTCAGCTTTCAGAAACAAAACAAGGAAGAATCTGTAACTTCGTTCAGATGGTTGCCTTTTCAGACTTTCTTTTTTTAAGGGCCATACATACATTTTCTGCCATTGCTCTTTATCTGTGATCTAACATCTGTAAGCTGATTTACGGGCGGGCCTGCAGGAGCTCTGCACCTCGGGGGGAAGCGGCCTCCTCGCTAAGTTTATGCTCTGACACTGCTGACCTTCACCAGCTATGCAAAGTACATTTCCTTCCTATGCCAAAGGATAAAATCAGCTGTGTGAAGAACAATACATGCACAGACAACATGGAAAATGCTGCCGTGGACCTTCGGATACTTCACTGCAAAGCTGCCCTTGGCCGCGCTCCAGGCTCTGCACGCACGAGCACACCCCGGGATCGCAAGTGCCTTCCAAGGGAATCACGGCCAAGCCATTCAAAGGTGTTTGGGCCTTCAGTTTGCTGCGGAATATAGGGCAGCAAGATTCCCCTGAAGCTTTGCGTTTGCCATGAGCGGGTCTGTGAGTTTTGGCTGCGGGTGGCCGGGTGATGAGCCCCAGGTTTGTGCCGGAGCGGGGAGTCTGCGCCGCAGCGACCCGTGCAGCGCTGCGGAGCTGCAGCGACATGCGGGCTCGGATCTGCCCAGGCCGTGCCGAGGAAGGGCTGAAGGGAGCCACGACTGCCCTGCGCACGGGGCGTCCCACCTGAGGGCACAGAAACCTCTGCCATGAACAGCTCTTTGGCAACGAGACGGACGGACGGACGGGGATTTTGGGGCGGGAGGGAGCTACTCAAGCCCACCTTGGCACCCCACCCTTGGAAAAGGGGCCCTTGCGCCTCACACTGTAAATAACAATAATAAAATAATGGTCTCTTCTTTCTTTTCCCTTTCAGCACATCAAAAGAGCCAGGAATTGTTTTCCCCTCACTGCCATGGCAACTGCCGGCCGCAGTCTCCTCCTCCTCCACAGAGAGCGGCCGGGCGCCCGCAGAAAGTGCCCTGAATGGACAAACGCCACCAAAAACCGGCCGTGAATGGACAAACGCGACCCTTTCCGCGCCAGGAATCCCAGGCATTTCCCGGCTATCCTGCAGCACATCCCTGTGCCCTCGCGCGCGACCCTGAGGGCCAGCCGAGGGCTTGAAGGCAAAATGGGGTTTGGCCTTAGCCCCCTTTAAAAAGTCTCTTTGGTTTTCCCTTAAGTTTTCCTTAAGGACACTCGCAGGGCTGGTACCCCGTAGCCCCTCTCCCCAGGGCCACAAACAGGGCAGGCAGCTCATTTCCTGTGGGAATCTGGGCTGTGCAGGTCGCTTGGAAATACCTGAGGCGCGCGCCGGGTTTTAGCAGGAAAGCAATAAAAGCCTCGGTGCAAAAATGTAAACAACGCTGGCAGTTCCTAACGCAGGCGTCTTTGCCGCGGGGGAGCCGGGCTGCTCGCTGCTGCCAGAGCGAAGCCTGCCCGTCGGCTGCAAACCACAGCGGGAAATTACGGGCCCTCCCTCTGGCTTTGTACATGGGCTTAAGGAAATGCATAATTCATCCGCACCAGTCAAGTGCTTTCCACTGGGAGGAGAGCGCAAAGGGCCTTAGGGCTTTGGGGTAATGGAGAGCACGGTCCCCGCAGGAGTAAGGCAAGCCCTGTGCGTGCCTGGCGTTTTGTTCTGCTCCGTTTTGCTCCAGATGCGTCAAGGGGCAGGGGGCTGGTGCACAGGGGGCTGGAAGGCACCCGGCCAAGGTGGGGAGGCCTCACGCTGCTCCCCACCTTCACAAGGCCCTGTGGGAACATGTAAGGTGAGGTAGGAGCTGCTGTTCCTCCCCACACTGCCCGCCGGGGCCTCCGCATTCCTTGGGAGACCGGGCCCACTGCTGCCTCCCTCCTTCGCTCCCAAATTAACCCCTGAGCAGCACACGGGGTGCTGAGGGCTGCATGGGGCGCCGAGGGCAGCGCCACATGGGGGAGCAGAGGGCAGTGACACACGGGGTGCCAAGGGCAGTGACATGGGGAGCTGAGAGCACTGACACACGGGGCATGGAAGGCAGTGACACACGGGGCGCCAAGGGCAGCGCCACATGGGGCACGGAGGGCAGTGACACATGGGGTGTCGAGAGCAGCGACACGGGGAGCCGAGGGCAGTGACACACAGGGAGCTGAGGGCAGCGACACGGGGCGCTGAGGGCAGCGACACACGGGACACTGAGGACCACATGGGGTGCTGAGGGCCGCAGAGGGCGCCAAGGCGGCGCCACACAGGCCGCTGAGGGCAGCGTCACACGGGGAGCCGAGGGCAGTGACACGCAGGGCACTGAGGGCAGTGACACACGGGGTGCTGAGGGCAGCGCCATAAGGGGAGCTGAAGGCAGTGACACACAGGGCACTGAGGGCAGTGACACACGGGGTGCTGAGGGCCGCGGAGGGAGCCGAGGGCTGCGCCGTGCAGGCCACCCTCCCTTTCCCGCCTCTTTTTCGGCGCGCTAGCACACGTTGGGCAGCGCATGGCGCAATAACCGGCACCATGGCCCCTGCCGTGCCGCACAGAGCGCGCTGCCCGCCAGCCGACATCCTGTCCTTCGCCGGTCACCCACCGAGCACGGCCTGGTGGACATCAAGCCGCCTTCCCACATGCGGTTACCACGTCTGTCCATGGATGGCCTAGGAGGATCTCTCTGACCAACAGATGTTTTAAAATGCTCTTTCACGTGGGAAAGTTGTCAAGTACATATTTTTATTGCACCCTTGCGATTTTATCCGGCCACGTGGATCTCCAGGGATGTAGACGTACTTAAGAAAAACATTTGTTTCTAAAAGCTTCTACAATTTTTTGCAATACCTTCTGGCTTTGTCATCCCGTGTATCTCTATTTTGCAGCAATTAGGAAGATACAGTAACTATACTGCCATGTATTTAAAGACAATTCATTTTCTTCTGCAGCAAAAATTTAGTTATGGCCATTCTCTAAACCTCCATCAGAAAGAACTGCAGGCTGCCCATCCCACCTCTTTAATAAATTGCTGTCTTTTGTGGCCCAGTTATTCGTCCTGCGTCTATTACTGCCGATACTTACGCGTTTCCCTGGGCGGCGAGGGCATCCTCGGGCCCTTCTGTGCTGCCGTTTGGCACGTGTACATGTCCTGTTTAATTAAGGCCCACTTTCCAGAGCACCCAGGAGTCCACCGCTCCAAGAAAGCAGCACTTCGCATCATCACTTCAGGCATGAGCCACAGCTCGGCTCTCCATTTGGATACCTAGTTGAAGGACAAATGTTCTCCAATTCAGAGGCACCAAAAACGTCCAAGCCCAGGAAGGCGTTAGCTTTCGACTGCCAAAACTCTCTGACCACACACAAAAGCAGGATCAATTTTTACACAGATGATGCTAGATTGCAACTCTCTGGCGTTAAAACAACCCTGGACTTTCCCAGAATAAATTTTGCCCTGCTTGACACTAACTTAAGGGAGAGAAGTGCCACAGGACAAAGGCAGAGTGAGACTTGGGGCCTCCTGGGACAGAGGGGGTTAGTGAATGGTGGAAAGTTCTGCGGTACCAGAAAGACAGTTCATTCCGGAAGGGAAAACCCCATCCCACCTTTCCCCCTCATGCCAGGCAAGCTCTTTCATCATACTGATTGGCGTCCACACTTTTCCTCAGGATATATGCCCGGATCCTGTAAAAAATAATGTGGCTGTAGTTCCAGCAGCACTGCTCTTAGTCAAAACCTAATGGCCAGGAGCCAGACTCACACAAACCATTTTGATCTGGTGTAGATCTGCTGGTGTGACTCCTGACTACCTATGTTTTGTGTAACTGCTAATCACCTCTTTTTCTTCCACCTCTTGTTTTTATTTTTGCCTGAATCAAAGTGACATCTACAATTCGCTGCTTCGTCTTGGAAGAGCAAATATACTCTAGTGCTACCAGCAATAAACACTGTGCTCTGCAGCGCAGGCCTGCAGTGACTGCAGCTTTCATTGAAAGTCACCTCAGGGCCCACGGGCTCACAACATCCTTCATCCTTCTTGTAAACCCTAAGAGATTTTATTTACGCCAAATATGGCATCTTTCCCCCCAAAGAAAAACGCTGCTAAAATGGCTCCACGGTGCATGTTAAACTTTTATTTGGAAGAAAACCAGGACTGTGCTGTGCTGTGCTGCAGCTTTTAAAGGAACTCTTTCACAGCCCTTTTAGGGGCTTCAGAGCAGGAGTTTTATGGATTCATAACAACATACATGTCAGGCAGACACTGGAATTCAGATTATTTTAACTCCAACTAAGGGCCTGTGTTTAAATGTCTGAATGCATTCCTTTGTGGCTGGATGTGTGGAGTGTTAAAACTGCAAAGATTGTATCTTCATTATAAATATTCTCTTCCTTAGTGTGTCAAGGGGCTGCTGAAGAGCAGGCTGCACTGGCTTGATCCGGAGGGAAGTGGGGACCAGGCAGTTTTGTTGCAGCATTTGCAAAGTGCAGAACCAGTCCTGCCTAATGCATCTCGTATCTCTGTTGTGTAGCAGGATCTCTGACACCAAAAACGCACAAAAGCAACAAAACGAGATGTTGTATTGCTTAACAGTAAGCGAGCCTTAAAATCCTCAAGTGGGAGATTTTTGTTGGTCGCTTTTCATGAACCCCACAGTCATCCATGAGCTGGATGACTGTGGGGTTCAAAGACTTCAGACCTAGCTGCTTGTCTCAGTGCACACCGTACCTCTCAATACGGCCCGAAAGGGCCTGGTTTACCGGGCTGCTCAGTTTAATGGCGTGAAGGAAAGGACATTCTCATACAAGGAGCTCTGTAATTGTCTTTTTGGAAAACCTCTTCCACGCACTTGCTAAATACACTAAACATTTCCATGTGGCTATAACTGCAACGTATTGTACCAATAAAAGGGTTGCAATGAGGCATGAGAATGACTATGTGTTTTATTGAAAATCTGGATGCTTTTTGGAAACTACTATTTCTACTTAATGAACCCCTCAGAAAAAAACAAGAATTTTTATTAAAGTTTTATGATCTAGACACAGTAAGAACTAGGAGCAGAAGCAAAAAATACGCTGTCTGCCTTTGCTGTTGCTGCATTACTAGTAGCCAACTCATCTCATTCCCAAATCCCCCTGAAATTCTCTGAGGCGGCTGATGAATAGAGAGCAACTTCACTCCCTTTGGTACACAAATAACTGTCAGCACTTTGTGGAATTTGAATCGCTCATGTACAAATCAAAAGAAACATGACAGCAAGTAAAGAGGACCCTGGCTCAAGCAGGGTTCAGATAAATCATTTGACTGCTTCCTCAGTGTGCCTCCAAAATGTACAAGAAATATGTCAAACCACTTTAGTTATCTGCCATGCCTGAGACCATTAACCACTATTAAACAAAGCCTTATAATTAATGCTAAATTGCAAGAAAAAGTTACTGGAGAAAAAGTTAATCAGTACTGTGGTACCCAGAGATGAGCTACAGGGAACAAAGGTTGAGACTGCTGACAGCTCACCTAACGTGTGGTGGAGCAAGACACTTGTCTAGCCCTGCAGACACGTGGGTTAGGCTTCTGCATCTATCCCTGCCAACCAGCAGGACCTGTTCAGAGGTGAGCACTAAAAACATGTACAAAATCTACCTGCTGTTGCAGTCATCCAGTTCTGTTCTTCCTTCTCAATGACAATGCAGACCAACAGCATCTTACCTTCAAGGAGCTTTAATTCTGTGCTTTTCTCCATGTTCAAATGAAGATTTAGCAGCAGCCCAATTCATTAACATAATAGCATAATTATTTATCAACATAATCTCACATTATATGAGATTTAAATAACCATAATTGATATTTTTGAATTAGTTACATCTTGAAGGAGTCCAGTCCCCTTTCCTAGGCCAGCAGTGCCTTTGTTATTCTTGCACTAGGAAGTTGATAAGGGCAGTTCTTGGAGACAGAAAAGCCTTTTTAATGGTTCGTCCCTGGAGGTGCCTGATTCCAAGTTCACTTTGAAGAACTAGTTCATGGACTTCTTCAAAACTGTGGGCTGCTTGCTGAGGCACACTGACTTTGCCACAGGCTTTGTTATTGATCTGAAAAACAGAGGGAGGAAAATGAGAAGAGACAGAAGTTACTACCCTGATTTATACAATTTAATCTTCTGAATGTAATTAATCTTGTTACACATGGGGAAAAAGTGACTCAAACTTTCTTTCCTCTCACAGCAATTTCTAAGCAGACGATAAAAATCTCCATGCCTCCTGCTCTCCTCCTATATTGTAAAAGAATAAAACTCTGATTTATTCTGATACTCACGGAAACTTTAAGAGGTGGCAAAAGGAAGTTTTATTTCTGATCACAGCAAGCATCACGGGACTACGCAGCGCTGTGATCTTCTAAGTTTGAAAAAGGATGCTTGCACAGGCTGAATAAAGACAGGGAACATAATGTTTGTCAGGTGGAAATATTGATTTACACATATTTCTAGATGGCATTTTAAAATTTTAATAGCTAAGTGATTTACTATAGAGTTTAAAACGCAGGATCTTTTCAAAGTAAAGTCCATTTGTGGCTGAAAAGGTATATATGAAGGAGGCTCATCACAACCCACTTTTATAAAAAAAGACAACTTATAATAAGTTACATTCTTAGTAAAAGTCTGTTTCAGAAAGCTAACACTAAGCACAAAGAACACACTCTCTCATAAGTTTTGCGATCCTGGGTTTGGCTGCTTGTCAGAGCACCTTCCATACTGATTTTGAATCATCTCCATTGATAAAATAGCCTTATGAGAGCATCACTTCTTTATCGTGCAGTAAAAGCAGACCACGTGTGCAAAGCGTAGAGCCCTACTGCCTACCTTCCTTTCTGGAATAAACATAAAATCCCTTAATTACCATAAAAGTTTTCAGATTTAATGAATAACATCAACTCTACATTTTATCACATTAAACAGTTGGTTATTTTTTATCCAGTTCAAATCAGTTACTTGCATAAAGGCTGCTGCATGTACTGCAGATCTTTGCACCTTCAGACACCACTGTACATATTTTTCAATCATCTAAATATAACAGGCTGCTTCATACATCTTGAATATAAAAGCACAGCCTGGTTTTCCCCTGAATTTTCTCCAGGATACACCCAGACCACGTACACACCACAGAAGTGATACATTTCACTTCCTGGTTGACATCTTATTTTCTATAATCTGTGCCATTCTCTGGTAGGAGGATGAAGGGGAGCAAGATGAAGTCTTAAATGCAGCCAGGATGAGTCACTTGTGGTTTCTGACTAGACTTGACACTAATTTGCACTGATACTGCACGCACGCATTCTTACATGCATTCTTAACAAAAGGTCTTCCCCGTAGTATCTTAATGCAAAGTAAATCCTTTTCTTAAAAAAAAAAAAAGTATAGACTTTATTAAAACCAATTATTTCTGATTAACAAAAATACTCTTTTAATAGGGTACCTCAAAGAAGTACTCCATAGGAAAAAAGAAAATGGTAGAATTGCAAAGCAAGCTTATGAGCTTGCTGCTGGGGTAAGCAGCTTCCAGACCAAGGCCATGCCTGGTTAGTTGAGGAGCCCCATTCCATACAGGCTGCTAGGGCCTCGTGGACACACTGTGGGTGAGGGCGCAGGACACGACTTGCACATTCGGTGCCAGGCTCAAGGGTCTGGGCCAACACAGGCCGAGGGGCCCCTGGGGAGCTGGGTCTTTGTGGAAACCCCAGGACGGAGCGGAGGCGCCGCCGCGCTCGGCTCCTGCCCGTCCTCACCTCCCCGCTGCGAGCAGGGTCTGCAAACTGAACCCGACCTCAGACCAGTCATGATACCAGCAGCATTTGCAGAAGGGTTTTCCTTCAAGTTGAGTATCCTGATCCAATGTCTGATGTGTATAAACTTCATCCTTAAAGGAGCATTGGCTCATCTGATGGCACAGCACGTGTGTGACAAGTACCCTGTTCGTATCTGCTTTTGGGAGGTGAGATTCGTGGCAGGACAAATGTCTTCTGCCCTCTTCCTCTCTCTCTGTACCCCAGCAGACAGCAGGTGCCCTCACGAGCTGCAGGGAGAAGCGCCAGTGCAAGAAACCTGGTGCCATTTGTCCTGTTTCTCTCAGCAACCTTCGTGCCAAACAGCAAGAGGAAACACAAACGAGGCTCCGGTTCTTCCCTCCCCGGGGAAGGAAGCTCTCCATTTCCTTTCTGATTTTTTTTCCTTTTTTTTTGATTAAACATTTGACTTTCTAGACCACTTTGAACCTACAAGGATCAGGAAGCTAGAGAAACCGTGAAGGATTACATGAAACTACAAAAGACAGAAAAACAAGCACCTCGGACATTGCAGAGATGAATTTTTAGTTCGACTCACACACTCTTTAGGAGCCTCAATGAATCATAATCTTGAGAAATCAAAAGGAAAAAGAAATCATCATCTGTGCATTTTCACTCCTTCTTCATATTCCGAAGCCGCAAAAATGCCACCAACTCAGCTTATTTTTTAACTTCAGTTGTAGGAGACAGGGGTTGTGAGCGTGACCTAAAAACTGCTGCATGCTGGTCACAAGTGCGCTCGCAGGATGAGAGACCACAGTCTCCACATGACATTTATGTCACCTTTTCTTGGCAATAACATTATATATGGTTGCTGTGATAGAAGGGCAGGCAAATTACAAACATTCAACTTGCAATAATATCTAAAATAATAAATACGTACACATACTCAGGGAATTTAAGTGTTTTTCTTGTATAAATTTCATACTGTATCAGCCAAAGATGCAGTAACTTGGTTTCTTATGCTGCTTTGGGTCAAAAATGGGCAGACAAAACTCCGGCATAGACAGGAAATAATGAAGTATCTCATGTCAAGAGAAATAAACCCATAATGTCTCAGCAGGCAGTTTGCTGGCAGCCTCAGGCAGTTTGATGTCTTGAGAAGAACAGAGCGACGGCCCAAAAGACTCAGTTTCGCTGGGCAGTGTGAAGAGACACTGTCTCTTTGCAACAAACCAATTCCTCCTCATTTCGAGGGCTTCTTGTTTTAATGAGGGCCATTTATTTTTACAACCACTGTCCAACCACTTAATGCTTTGAAATATTCACATTGACAATGATTTTTCACTGCTTCTCAGTATTTTCCTTTTGCCTTACTCCTACAGAGGAAAGGCAGGCACTCCCACAGGCATTATTTTAAAGAATTCCTTTCAGTTCTTAAGAGGAATTATTAGTGTTATCAGCCAGAGCTGCAGTGGCTCAATTTCTTCTGCTTCTTTGGTTTAAAAATCGGCTCTGGTCCTTCATTCACTTACTTCCTTTAGCCTAAAGGAGATATTTATGTCCATCACATTCTTCCATGAGAAGACGCTTGCTTGAGCACAAGGGGTTGCTCTTTCTTAGCAGAAGATACATACACAAGACTTTAGCTTAGAAGCTTTGACAGAAAGTGAATCAGGAACGAAAATAAAAATATTTTTCAAAATGACTCTTTAGTTTTCTATTTTCTGCTTTAAAAAGGAAGTTTTAACATCAGCAGGAAAATATTAGTGAAATCTTTAGGCATTCGTATCTCAGAGTCACACAGAATGACAGAATGGTTGAGTTTGGAAGGGACTTCTGGTGCTTATCTGGTCCGCCTCACCTGCTCAAGCAGGGAAACACAGAGCACATTGCACAGGAATATGCCCAGACACCTTTGGAAGAGTTCCCAGGACGGAGATTTCATAACATCTCTGGGCAATCTGGTTTGGTTGCCCAGAGGTCCATCCCCTTCACAGCAAAGAAGCTTTTCCTTACGTTCAGATGGACCTTCCTGTGTCTCAGTTTGTGCCCACGGCCTCTTGTCCTATTACCGGGCACCACTGAAAACAGTCTGGCCCCAGCCTCTTTACAGTCCCCTTCAGACACCCACACATATTGATCAGATTTCCGCTCAGTCTTCTCTTCTCCAAGCTGAATGGCCCAGCTCTCTCAGCCTTTCCTCATAAGACAGATGCTCCAGGCCCCGATCATCCTTGTAGCCCTGTGCTAGGCCCTCCCCAGTAGCTCCACGTCCCTCTTGTACTGGGGAGCCCAGACCTGCACCCAGTGCTCCAGGTGCAGCCTCACCAGGGCCGAGTAGAGGGGGACGATCACCACCCTGACCTGCTGGCAACATCCTCCTCATGCAGCCCAGGAGACCACTGGCCCTTTGGGCCACAAGGGCACGTTGCTGGTTTGTCCACCAGGACAAGAGATTCTTCTTTGCAGAGCTCCAGCAGGCCGGTCCCCAGCCTGTCCTGGTGCTTGGGGTTATTCCTCCCCTTCGCTGGCAGGACCCTGCACTCGCCCTTGCTGAACTTCATGAGGTTCCTCTCTGCCCATCTCTTCAGCCTGTCCACGTCTTTCTGCATTGCCTTTACGGCAAGCTGCTACTGTGCTCCTTCTAAGCTCTGTGATGCCTCAGCGTGTGCTGGATATGCTAGGCTAGATACTCAGAAAGAATGGAAACAGGATGGCAAACTGCATTGTGCATGTACACACTCTGGAAGCTCACAGTTGGGGCAAATGTAGTTAGACCTGAACTCTTCTGCTGAGCTGCCAACTCTTTCCACAAACCCTGAAGGTGCTAAAGCTCAAAATGAAAATGGAACCTAATTCTAACATTAACAAAGCCACCTGCTTTGCTCAACCCCATTCCTGGAAATACGCTTGGCCAGAAGTTCAGCCTGAGGCAGACAGGAAACAGTTTTGCAAAATCATACCACCTAAAGCCAGCTTGTAACAGGTTGTATTAGGCAACTGTAGCATTACTGGTAGCACAAGAAGCTTCACCTCATTACACGTCTTATACAGGGGCAAGATTAAGAACAGATTGACAGGTAAAAGATCTGGAGGGACCTGTATTTTGATCATAGTTAGGGCTATACAGTCCATGCCTTCAGTTGCTCATCAGGCAGATCTCTCCAAGCAGCAACATCTGCAGTCACTCAGAAAGTTCTGTATTTAGATCATCTTCCTTCCAGAATCACTACTTTTTTTTCAGTTTGGACACCATTTTTAAATCAGCAAAATTTTAACTACAGCTTCCATCTCCTTGGACCTCGTGCCGAGCCACGTAGCAAGGGCTGAGATTTGCACAGGGGCACAAATTCAGTCATCCTGACATCCAGACAAGAGCGCGCTGCTGAACGCCAACAAGGCTCTCTTACCAGAACAGCCATCTCCACGACATCCGACGGCCGGAGGTACTCGGGGTCTACCTGGGGCCAGGACTGGTGCAGCACGTCAGCCTCCCAGTTGTGATGAGCGCAGAGTTTATGCTGCATGTGTGCCAAACCTGCAACACGAAACCCACCACCTGGTCAGCTGCACTGTCAGCAGAACACTCTTTAGAACTGGTTTGACAAATAAGATCAAAATAAGGTTTACTTCAAAAGCCAGTCTCTCAGGAGGAAATAACACTGTTTATATTCACATACAGCATGTTATAAACAGAAGGACACACATCTTTGAAAATGCTTCTTTCAAACTATACGTACGGACTCCAAAATTGTGGGCACACTTTAGATCAGGTTTAGCACTCCAAAACATTGCCAGAAGCACAGAAGATCACTGGTCCTTGTTTTAAAGTGTTACACGGCTACACAAAGTGGTCTCTGGCTTTAGAGGCTAATCATAATATCAGGTTCACTTGAATGGCAACGCCGACTGGATAGAAATGTTACCAACAATTCAGTTAAAATGGGAACACTGATTTTCACAACATCACTGTTTATTATGTTACCATCTGTGGGATAGTTTCTAAATTGGCAAGTCAAGCTACTTGCAAGCGTTTCTCCTGTTTTGAGAAGCATCTACTTTCCCACACGTTGAAGGCACTACAACATGCACAGTTTGCTCTCTCACAGGACACACACTTTCTGAATGGCTTTATCCTTTGATATATTTAACCACACTGGTGAAATGACTGTAAAAGACCTCCTTGTGTGAAACAGACTTTGCCCTCCTCAGAGACAATCAATTCCCAGCCTGTCCAAGTAACAGTAGAACGGGATTCAATTCCCTCTGAAGTCACATTCGGTAGCCGAATAAAATGTTCTGGGTGGAACTTGTGTGTCTTGTCTATTGACTCTAACTGCAGGGCAAGATAAGAGATCTCACTTAACAAGAAGGTTTCAGATGTGAACAGTAATTTAAGTGCTACTGTGATTGTTTTTCACACAGTCAGGGAACTATCAAATTAAAAAACCAGATGTGTATGACTGACAACACAGATTGAAATTCTTTTTAGACATTTCATCCAGAAATGCAAAAAGCAACAACTGAAGAGCATCTGAAAAATCACCTCATTGAGGAAATCTCAAGCAAGAGCATAAAGAAAAGGCTCTGGCAGGAGATTCACTGCTGAGACGGGGGCATCCCAAGCTGCCCGAAACACAGCACACGGACAGACCTATCCCACAGACCAGCCGTGCCTGCTACATCCCTGCCTCTATCCGGCTGGGCTATCAGCTTAGGCTGATGCACTGAATAACATCACCAAAGAGCGAAGGAGAATGCAGCTTCCTCCCAAATAACATCGTGGGGAATTCTGCCAGCGCTTTGGAGACACAGCCCTCCTACAGATGACACACGGAGTCTTGCTGTTTCCCTGAGGATTCAGACGGAGACGGGGCGGGTCACTGCGGGCAGTTACTCCTAGCAGCCAGCAAGAATGTGCATGTGTTTCCTAAGAGCAACAACTGAGTTACAATCTTATTAGGTAAGTAATTGATTCAACACTTCAACACATACAGATTTCTACTGCATTTTTTTTTCCTCTTGCAACAGTGGCTCGGAGGCATTTAAAGAGCAAAGAATGGGAAACTGAGGAGACAATAAGCTGCACACGGGTGATTCATTTTCACGTTGCCTTTGAAAGAACAGCTGCTAAGCTCTTCTCCTTTTTGCTTCTGCACACAGCGATGAGCTCTTCTTTCCAGGGGATCACATGCCTTGTGGCAAAGGCACTCACATGAGCCACTCCTCACCCTCCTGCTCAAGAGGAATCTTCAAACTATTCACAAAACTTTGTGACGCAAGTCAAGAGTTTCTGCCTACAAAGGTAAAATCAGGATCACTTTTAAGCCCCATGAATATCGTCAACCCTAACAATCCTACTAATAAAACAAATGCAAATACCCCCTGAGCAGATGAAGTCTGACTACAGTACAATGCCAATCTTTCTGGTTTCTATTTCTTTTTTTTTTTTTCAGCTACAAAAATGTGCCATGAGCTCACCCACGTTAAAAAAAGAAGCTGCAAAAGTCAACAGAGCTAGTTTCAGAAAATAGGGTTTGACAGGAAACCAAAACGAAGATTTTACCTATGCTTCCTGTTTGCCTTCCTGTCTTAATTCACATTTTGTGAGCTCCAGAACGCAGAAAACACCCCCATGATTCGTTTCACCTTTCAAAACCAGAACTTGAGACCTGACCAGAAACTTCATTGCCATCAGCTGCAACTGTTTGAACACTTGAAGGGATGTGGAGGGACCCTGGGTCCAGCCTTCTCACTTGCTTCTGACACGGTGCCCAAGAGCCCCACGTGAGAAGCTCAGGGTGAATCGTCTCCCAGAGCTTTCCTGAGAAACCTTTAAACCCCTGTCCATCCTGCAGCACCGGCGAGCATCTGGCAGGCACGTGATGCACTAGGAGGTATTTTGCTCTGTATTTTGGGCTTGTGTTGTTTTTAGGGACGGCAAGGCAACCGAGTGCATTTCTGCTGGCTTCCCAGAGCACTTACACGAGGAGCAATCTTGAGAGGCAGATGAAGGACAAGCTTCGTGCTCAGGCTGAAGCCCCGATCCTGCCGCCGGCGCTGCTCGAATGGGCTTCTATTGACCACTTGTAGCCAACACAGGAACAAACAATTCCCCCAACCTGTAACTCACAGGATCAGAGCCGCACATAAAACCCAGTGCTATATTGTACTACTCTGAAAGAGTTGTGGGGCAGGGATAGGACAAATATTTAAGCTCGTGGCATTACTTGACTCATGAGTATTTCCTAAAAATAGGACCTCCCCAAGATGCCACCACTGAGGAAAAGCAGACTGTTCTTTTAAAGAGAGATTTAAGAGGAAAAGTTGAAGGCAATCAGTCCTGTATGGACACCATCAGGTAATTTTGGTCTTATGGACAAAAATATTAGAAAAATGTATCTGGGAAACTCCAGCAACAGTACGGTTAGTCTGATGCTTCTCCGTGCAACAACAGCAAAAAATAGAAATGTTTAAAGCATGAAGTGAGGAGTGGCTGTCCAGGAGAGGGACAAGGGCCAGCACAGAGAGGCTTCAGAGGAGACGATGACAGGAGGAAGGAAGTCTTAAGGTGAAATAAAAGGAAATTAATGAAGACATCTGAAACAGAGCCAAAGTAAGAGCTTAAGATTAGGGTTTTTCTAATAAGATACAAGAAGATCAGAGAGAGGACTATGCGGTGCATTATCAAAATGCTGGCTACCTCTAGATACAGCAAAATCAAATCAGAAGTTGGTGTTAAGTAAAAGTCCTTTACACGAGCCAAGAAGCAGGTAGAGTTTTTGAACTCAAGAGTAGCTGGCTGAGGTGCCTCTTGAGTCAGTATCTTATAGGCCTGGCAACCTCTTCCAAGTACAGGAATACTTTGTTCTTGATATATACATATTTTATTATATGTTATTATATTACTTTGTTCTTGATATATACATATTTTTATGGTACTTTATTTAATTGATCTTCCTATTGGGCAGATAGGCAAGCAGAGTATCACAAATACATTTTTTCAGCCGAGGAGAAACATGTCTGTCAATCACATATGCAGCAATCTGCAATATCAAAGAAATTACAGCAATATAGTAATAGCTATATCCTAACAGCTGGGAGAAAAGCTGTATTCTGCTACTGTCAGCAAGTAAGTGGGTCAAACAGTGTAATTTGCATTTACTGAATACGGTGGAGGGGGTTCATTTTGTATGTTCTTTAGTGACAGATCTGAAATACCAGAAAGGGTTTCTGAAAAGCCTGCCTTATGAGAGCCAACTCCAGAATGTGTTTCCAGTTTAGCAAGCTCCGTGGTAATCAGGAATCCCTTTTAACCTTTGAAAATTCATCTGCCTTACTCCAATCCTACAAATTTATTATCCTTCATTTTGGATTATTCTCTTGGAGGAAAAAAATAGTTCTTATTCTGAATAGGGCTTCTGGTATTTGCACAATTCTGAATTCTCATTTTCCACGAAGATGTGTAATGTTAAGTGGCTTGCATTCAGCTCTTCTCTTCAAAAAATCCTTCTCAAGCAAAGCCTGAATTCAAAGAGAGGCACTCTTGCATTAGAGCCACTGTGATGACAGTCCAAAAATTGTTAAGACAACTATACCATTACATATAGCAATATTTACACTTCATTGCAACACATCATCAGGTGTATTTATCATCAGTAGGTATCTCCCATGTGCCATCTCTAGTAAAAATCCCACAATAAGCAGTTTCATAACCTCCTCTGGACAGCAAAATATGGCACTACTACAACCAACCAACCCCAACAAACGTCTCGAACGGTGTCTGTATATTCCTCAGATACAAGGCTTCAGGAAGGAAGCAGATTTCCTCATCCTGTTACTGCTCATAAACTGCCAAGATATCAGTCGCTGAACTCGTCCACACCGAGGGGCTACAGTAGCTTTTAACGTTACTAAGCTAGAAAAGGGTGAATATGCTGCACAGCACCCGAGACCACCCGGGTGACCCCCCAAAAGAGCAGAGAGCTCCTCCCGCGAGCAGCACCAAGGGCCAGTGCCAAGAGCAGCCCCCAGAGCCCTGGGTTCCTGCCGTTCTGCGGCAAGGCGAGGCCTCACAGCAGGGCACTGGAGCAGCCTTCCTCCTCACTCGAGCTGGAATCACTCCCTGCCAATTCTTAAGTGGGCTCTCCAACCCGAAACAGAGCGAACCCTCCATCTCTGGCCGGTAACAAAGCGGTCACACAGGAACTGAGTCCCAGGGGAGAGTAATTTTTTAGCTGCAGAAAAGCAAAAATTGCTGGATCTTGAGTCAAAACGATTTTATGTTACAGCTTATCTTATATTTAAACCTAAATATTACATCAGAAGCATCCTTCAGATATCAAATTGAAGTTCTGAGTTTGCAGATCAGTGTTCCTACACAACTGCAAAATTATCTAATTAATAGTAACTATTAGGGCTGGCTATATGCAAGATATTTTTGAACAAAATGTCAAAACTCAATTATAAAACTATTACTTACGTGTTGTTCCTTACTTGCATTGCAATTGCAGACAAAACTTCCATCAAAGCTTGAGGCTTGCAGCTGTAAGTGCTGTTTATAGAGCTAATAATACACAGAGTCCCCTTCCTGAATAGTTTACAAGACAGGAAGCAGCACGATCCCTCCGTTTCAGATGTAAAGCCAAGGCACAAACACAGAGCCTCACTCTGACAATGTATGCAGAACAGAAGCACTAAGATTAAATGCAGAACTTCGGAAGTTTATCTTTTTAAAGCTACAGCTTGAAGTTATTTAAAACAAGGAAAGACAATCAGCCATACTCAATAAAATTTAAGACACTCTCTATATCAGATGAAATACTTAGTGCAACCGGGATATAAGTTCAGAAACCTTTAATCATAAGAAGATTAACTTGGGGAAACTATTTCTTGAGTATAGTTAGGCAATTTTCCCACAAGTCCTAATCCCAAGACAGAAATGCTAAATGTTGGCTTTTTCTAAATAAAATATTATTCTTATCACAAGCAGTAGCTAACCGTACATACGTTCTCCCAACAAAACTGTTTAACAATGCTGCTGAAATGTAATTTTCTGTATGTGTTTTTCACATTCAGTCATAAAATCCTTGGTCAATAACCACCACAAAATGTTTCTGTACACTAGCTGTCCTGAATGCAGTCCCTGTGTGCACTCCTTGGATGACACTAACAAAACTGGATCTTCCAATATGAAGAGGAGAACCGGACAGCACAATCCCAATTTTTATTATGTTTCCTTTTCATTCTTACATCAGAGAGAGAACCAGAAAGTGCTTAGCATTCTTACTCTCCAATCACTTCAGTAATATGAGAAGATATTCTGAATGGTATCGAACTAAGCTTTATGTTTGACAGGTTATGTCAGTGAAGACATCCCAGTGATGTTTGTAATTTCACCAAATACATCTGATAATTCTGCATTCCTAGCCAGTGTTGGAATTTCATAGCTCACATGGCAGCTCACATGGCACTGTATACTTAGCTAAGTCTCCCTAACCACCTCTGCTTCCATTTCAGCCAAGGAGGAACACAAATCCTGGCAATTACTGCATTTAAGTATAATTCTAATAACATGATACTACATTTTGTAACAGAATATTGACTTAAATTAGCATTCTCCACATGGCTCTTGTCTGATGCCATGCTGATTCTAAATAATTAATCCTTCACTAAGACAACTCCAATATATGATTAAGGAAAAAAAAAAAAAACCCACTCTACTGCTTCCTCAAAATGTACAGAAATATCTTGCTGTTTCCTGACTCTGGGCTGCTGTGTTATTGTCCTGCTCAGCAGCAAGCTTGCTTAGGGGGCTGGTGGTGCTGCACTGTCACGTACAGCTCTGAAACCTCACCCACTCACTGGCCCTGCTCTGTCTACACTTGAAAGCACAAAGTTCTCAGATGATGATCGTGAGAAATAAAACTTTCAGAATAGCATGCAGAATATAAAAGTAGGTCCAAAACCACAAAGCAACTGCGACCGGTATTAACACGGAATATATTTCTGTCCTCCTTCCCACATATGTCTTGGGACTTGTCCAACAGAACAAAGTCACTGCTGACCCCTTGGCATGTGCCCCCTCTATTTCAGAGGCTGTAACTGAGCAGCACCACACAACTTAGCCCACTTGGGATTCAGACCTCAATGTTTGTAGCTGTGACAGAAGTTAAAAAAAAAAGATCTCCTGGCTGTCGTCCCCACTCTCCCTGAGAGGGTAATTCACAACATAGCGTCCCTCAGCCTCTAGGGAATATTACCAGGATAGTATTTGTGTTTAACACTCCTCTAGTCTTCATAGTACACAGTCTGTGACACAATCCTCTTTGCTTCAAGTTCTGAAAGAAAGCACTTCTAGTCCAAAGACTCTAGAACAGTTCTTCCGAAAAGGTCTGTTCAGCTCTTAAACTCTCTTCCAAACGGAAGGACAGTTAGACACCTACATAAAAACTCCTTCCTCAGGCTGGTCCTCTCTTGACTTCATCTTCCTTCCCCTTTCCTCGGCCTACTCTCTCTCTCTTAAAGAAAAAATCTTTGGATGCAAATGCAAAGAGAAAGAAATTGAAAGCAGAGAGATCTGGTAAGCCCACAACTTCCATGTTTGTTTAGGAATTATGAGTAGGCGACAGGCATTAAAACACTACAAAACCTCTGTCTTTGACAGAACATGACGAGATAAATGCAGAATTGAGGGATGACATGTGTTATTTTAAAGATACCTTTGGAAACTTGTTCTCTTTTCCTTCCCCGTCCTGCAACATCAATAAAAACTATGAATATAAGTACCTTTCCACATCTCTGATGCAATGTGTGGAGCCATAGGTGCAACCATGATGCAGAGTGTAGCCAAAGCATCTTCAAATTCTGCACTGTGGAGAATAAGAGGCTGAGAAGCTTGCTAAGCAAAAAAGCAGAAAGAAAAAAACAAAGTAAATATATATATTCCTGAAGAGGGAAGAGAAGTAGCTTAGTTGAAAACAAAATGCAGCAAAAAACAAAAAAAAATGCCTATGATCAGAATAGTATAATTTCATAATAAATTGGAAATCTATGAAAATTTATGGAGAATTAAAATAGAAGCCACTTCAAATCTTAATCATGGCATGCCCTCTAACATTGCCATAAAAAAAGATGTAAACCTGAAAGCTAATCTTGAAAGAGTTGACAGATCCTTGGGGTTTTACTCTGGTATGGGGGCCTGCACATAAACCTGTGTGGATGACTGTGTCCCTGAGGAACATTTAGAATATTGCTATGTCTAGAATTATAATCTTAGATAAAATTAGAGCTATCTGAGAAAAGGTGGAGTACTTGCATAAAAGCGCAAACCTGTGGTAAATGCACTATGTTTTTAATAGGGATAAGGTCTGGTTGTATAGAATCCCAGAGTGGTTTAAGTAAAGCTGAATTTAATGCCACTGAGGTTTTAGAATAAGTGAGAGTCAGGGAAGAAGAAAAGCACAAAGTCACCTATTACAGTCACATATTCAGATCGCCCAACTGAGAAAGTCTGAATCTTTATTCATTTATTTATTGTATCATAATAGAAAAGTTGCAGCACTAAAAGCAGCTGAATAAGCTTTTTCTTTCTTTGCCTCTGTTTGCCTCTGAGAGATCTCACTCCATGGTAAGGACAGTTTAGATTCTGTGTTTATTTTGTCATTTGCTTCTTCAAAGAAACAATACAGAAAAAACATCAATATATGTCAGCTAAGGAAAATTATTTGGTGGGTGTGATAGACATTAGTTCCTCTCTACTAGAAACTGTTCAAACTCTGTGATTTGTTTGATGCAGACTACAGAAGAGCTATCAGATGGCAACTTATCGTTGATACTATTGAGGTCAGTGCAAGCTAGATTGGTGTGAGTTTTAATAACTACTACCCATTTCTATTTTTAAATGTCATCCTCCTCCCCACTTCCTTCTTTCAAATGGTACTGAAAGCAGAAGTATCAGCACGTTATAAGGAAATCTATTCTTGAAAGAAACTGAACACAGAAGTGTTCAAACGTGGTTGGCTGTATGACATTGGGCTTTTAATACTGACTCACCAACATCCACCAGCCCAAAATGCACAAGAGTCATTGAGCTGCACAGAAAGAATTAAAATTATCATTTTCCCAAAACTAGACAGTCTCCCAGGCTTATATTATTTCAATGAAACCATTTGTGCCTGACCTACTTTACCTTTTGCTGTGTTCCTTGAATTTGTTAATAATCCCAGAATCTATAGGGTATAAGGTGTTATTTCAATAAAAAAAGGTGGAAAATCCCAATTTTTAATACGATTTCTGGTCTGATCACATATAAATACACATCTGAGGGACTGCCTAATCAGATGTAAAAGCAGTAATAAAATGTAATAGTTTATTATATTTGATCTATCTGGCTGATGAACAACATAATAGTCTGCATTAAAAATACTAAAACCAGAAGCTATCTCTACCTTTGTTTAAAAAAGGGAGTTTGCAAGTTCTATTTGCAAGTTCAGTGATGAAAGCTTTCTTTGATGAATGTAAGATTATGTGTGATTTTCCACGTAAGTTATCATTTTTATAAATATGTTTCATAATTCTCTAATTCTAATATTCTATTCCCTATGAACTTTGTTTAAAACAAAAGTGAACAAAGAACAGAACAAAGCAAAACTTTTCCAAAGCAAAAAAACCTTTGAAATTTCAGGATGCAGATGTAAACATCAGAACATATTGGCTCTCATACTTCCAAGCTCTTCCTGGAAAACGTGGTACATTCAGGGGTTACGGTGATACCAGAATGTACTTCTTTGGAAAAGAGTAATTCAAACTAAGTGCATGCGGCCCTGAGGTCAGGAGCCAGAGGAATCACAGTTATTAGCTTCTGGTATGGGAGACTTGGTCCAAGTAGCTCTTGTTTGGTAGATAGACATATATGAACAGAGGCTGCAAAACACATAAAAACATACACAATTCATACTGCATACTTACATGGAGTACATTACTGAGGCTCATCAGCCGAGAAATAGCTGCATTGAACAGATGATCCTTTGTGAAATACTCCGTGACCTGTTGTATTGAAGAAAAGTTCTGTCACTACTTGCTTACATTTCTTGAACATGGGATACTGGGATTTAAATGAAAATTAATCTTTGCACGCCAATTTTGAATTGTGAAATATGCCTATGTTAACTTCCCCATGAAAATCACTTCAATGTCATATCATCTGTCCTTTCATATCATATATATGACCCCATGCACAAGTGAAAGTAAGAATCACATAAAAATTAATCTGACCTTTGTTTCAAAACTTTCAGAATTTCAATCAATACCAATTGGAATTCTATATCAGCAAACACCCTCTACGTCCTTCAGTAAGATATCTTCCCTTTGTCACCATAAACAATGTCATACTTGTAAATCCAGTAGCACCAATGAAAGGACTTTCATACAGAGCAAAATCACATTTCAAAAGTCTTCTAAAACACTGTGAAGGAACTCGCCTGGCCCCAGAATTTAGATTCTATATGCAGAAAAATATTTAAAGTTAATTTTACAGTTATTTGTGTCTCCTTCTGAGACATGCATAATTGAATATGATTGACACTAATCACAGCATAAGACTTTAGACAGAACAGGCTGATAATTAATTCAATAACAAATAAACGTTAGGATGAGCTAATATATTTCCCCAACTTTTTTTCTCACTTCACATGAAGGATACAGCACATCTGATAATGAAGTGTGAAACGAGCAGATTTCAAAAGGACGATCTGCAGAACTGACCTACAGCTTTATCGATGAAAAATACAGTTATTCCAAACTTAGACTGAAATCCAGGCATTTTAATGCCCAAACACCTCATTTAAATGAAGCACAAAGCAGAGAATCTTTGCCAATCTAAACCTTACTACTTCTTAAAAGAGATGTGTTCCGTGGAATTGACAGGCAAATAAAATTACTTATACAGGAAGTATTTTGGAGGATACGCTACTCATCTGGGTGAAAGGTTTTGCTCCAACAATGCCCTAAATCAACCAGCAGTTTAGCAAAATCAGTAACTTAGTTATTTACAAAGTAAGTGTTTCTCTTCACCTCAGAAACCACCAGATTCTTCTGCTCCCAGATCTTTCTGGCTTCAGCCTTCTGCTTGGTACTGAGACGCTCAGGATGGGGCAGGGTTCCCGACGCCCTCGCTTCGATAAGCCTGGATACGAGGCTCCAGAGGCGCGCCTGCCAGCGCTGCACGCCCGGCATGGCATCCGCTGGGTGGCCAGGAGGGTTGCAAAAACAGACAGATTGCAGCTGGCAGGAATGGAGCCACACGTTTGAAGAGAAGCAGGATGGAAACTGCACCCTGCAGCTAAACATTAAACCCCCCAAATCTATGCTCTGCATTAAAGACGTCAATGCAATTAAAATATATTTTAAAACAATATTATGGTGTTTTAATGGAAAAGAACTAATAATATGAAGTAAAAGTATTTCCTGCAATGACTTCCGAGTATATATATATTTGCTAAATTTACAAAATAATCCAATGTTATATCAATATTAAAAGGTTCATCTTGTGTTTTAATGGCTTCATTATGTTCATTATAATGTTCATCTTGTGTTTTAATGGTTTTAGTGTGTTTTAAAAGCAATCCTTTACAAGATTTTCATTTTTTTAAATCATGGAAGAATATATGCATACATATGTGTATATATATATATAGCTAAAAAAGCACACATACGCATATAGACATACATATTTTTTTTTTCAAATGGAGATTTGTTTTCTAAGCTTAGATTTTAAAAACTTCTTGCTACAAACATGCTACTGTACTAATGATTATAGGCCATCCATGGGGCCATCTTTCCAGCACAGCCTGGCAACAAGATTTGCATTTATTTTATGTTTTAAAGAAAAACACATTAGAAAAAGAAAAAGACAACAGAAACAGGCTGACTTACTTTTAACATCCCACAAAATATCTTGCTCTGGAGGAGCTGCAAACAGGATGTAAAGACGTATGGTGTCGATGCCATACTCCTCCTTCAGCACCCCTGGGTCTATGCCGTTGTGCTTAGATTTGCTCATTTTTTCCCAAGTGACTTCGATCTTCTCACCAGTTTTTAGGTGAACTGGTTCAGTCCCTACATATTAACACACACAAAAACATTAAAAGTAAATTCTGTTCATTAGTAACAGCAAAGGATTTTGCTCTCTAAGCATAGTATGAGGCAAGAATATCCATTTTGGGGGGGAGTCCAAACAGTTTAAAGAGTTTATACAAGCAAAATTCCTCTGCATTCCCAAAATGTTGCTGCTTTCATATTTCATCACAAATTGCACTCCAGGTTTACAGGCTTCAGTTTCAGTAAGTTATCCTGATAAGAAACTGCTTTGTGTAGGGAGAGAGATGTACATACACATGTATGTTTATTATATTATTACTATTACTATTACTATTACTATTACTATTACTATTACTATTACTATTACTATTACTATTGATTATATATGTTTAATATTACATGCACAAATGTTCACCCAAGCAAAGCCACCTATTACAGACAAACCTGTATGCTTTTTTCCATGCCAAATTTGTATGCAGGACAAGAGCAGTGGTAACAAGGTAAGTGAGAGGAGGGTTTAACGGGGGCTTAACAAATCGCCCTCTGATCCCTGGGCTCGGCCACACTGAAGTTCCAGTTAATACCACAGGGCTGCTGCTGCGCTTGGGCGCAGTTAAAAGCCACTGGATTATAGGAGTGTCCCTGTATATGGGTTTGGCACTAGACACATGAATCCAAAGCTCACAGGAGTGGCTTTCTAGTTAAAATATTACAAGGATTCATTCTTCTTGGCTGCATATTTCCTGTGCTGTGACTTGGACATTCTTTTTTAGTGAAGTAGCCTCTGACTTACTGGGGTTTTGCCCACACGGCCTCTTACCAGTGAGATCGACCTCCTCCCTCTTCAGATACTGGCCTGTTGTTGCTAATCTGAATGTCTGATTCTTGATAATACCTTGAACCAACAGCTTATGGAAAGGTTCCCTAGGGAAGGAAGAGAAAAGAAACGTGTCTGTCAAAAATAACTATCAAAAGCTTCTTCTACGATAAGCCTCAGATGTTGAATCAATTAGGCACAAATATTTAATGAAAGAAGAATTTTAAGTAAGTTGACTATATATAAAGGGTTGTCACCAGTTAAAGTCAGAATACTTTCTGCACTTATTCATGATGGCTAGTTGACAAGCACAAATATTTATCTGTATCCTGCATGTATTCTTGTATCTTGATTCAGTAGAGTTTTTCTAACATCACTTTTCAAATAAAAATATGGATAATACCTTAAGGTTTCTTGTCAAACTGTGCACATTCACTAATATTAAACTAAATCACCATTTGTAAAAATATTCAAGTGACTGGCCTGAATTCCTTGCAAATGTTTGATTTCAACTCCTCTCCTAAGAGCAGAGTTTGAAAAAAGTCCAAATTTCACAGCACATTTCTTTTTATAAATTGAGAAGATACGTTTTCTCGAACACACCCAGGCATTCGTATGTCCCGTCCTTTGCAGAATTAAGCCATGAAGTCCTAGTTAATAGAAAAAGAACCCTAGTAAACTGCAATGTTGGAAAGTGCACATATCAGCACGCCAACTTCCTATCTAAAATATCTAAACTTAAGTTTTCCAGTAAAATCTGCATCAGAAGGAGTAAGCCGTCAGATACGTGTATGCTAGAGACAAACAGAGCCTCAAAAGCACCAAAACTGAAGGCAAGAGTACACTCAACAAGAAATAAATCCTAAGTTAACACTTCTCTAGTGGCAGATGCGCTGCGGCTCCCTCCTCCTTCCAGCCATATTACATTCCTAACGCACTGATTCCCACGGCTGTCCCCATTTTCACTGGAAAAAGGTCAATGCAACCGATCTCTAGAGAGATGAATTAATCTAGAGACCGAGTGCCCACTCGGTAGGTCAGGGTGGGGGGCAGTTGTCGTGACCACTCCAGGGAAGAGGGAAGTGCCAGACCCAGGAGGTGAGGAGTCCAGCGGATCCTCTCCAGGGATCCTCGTGTTCAAAGGACCTTTGGGACCCCCATTCTGGAGGACTTGCTGGTCAGTGCTGGCTACTGCTGGCCTGTAAACCTCCCACACACTGCTCAACATGAAGCACTCTGAATGATCCCCTGACTTTCCACTTATGGAAGCTCCAAATAGCTGCCAAAACACACTTACACACAAAGGGATGCATCGCTTCTATTGGTATTTTTTTCAGAAAGCTGTAATAATCCATCCATCTAAAGAGGAATTAGTAAAAAGAGTGCGTCTATTTTACTTTATATTTTAAAAAAATCTAAAGCACTAATCTTTTTACTGGAATTTTACATTTCCCATATTCTGTGATTATTATTAAATATAAAATATATGACAACTTATCTCACGATTTAAAACACGGTAACTTAATGATAGGTGAAAACTGTTTGATTTATGCATTTTTAAATGAATTAACGGCGATACCTTCCAATTGCTCTTCTTTAAACACTTCTGGTGACTCTGAACTAAGGAGATATTTGAAAGAAAAGCTTTTAATTGAGAGAGGGAAAGCAACAGGCTTCATGCTTTATCTTCAACACAGTCACGCTTGAACAAGGGCTCTCTGCCTTGCATATTTTGCATACTCCTAAATATTAGACAAGCAATGACACACAGTGAAGCCACCAGGTCACCAGGCAGCAGAGGTCTCTACAGTACCACACAGTTTGACCAACAATATGAGGCAGGAGTAACAATCCAGGCATCTCTATAAACATTTTCTGAATAGTATTTCACAGGTTGCCTGAAAAGTTCTGTTGTTTGGAAATAGAGGAACTTAAGGAAACAAGAGTCAAAGTCAAATTTAAAGAGTAAAATAAAAACCAGCATTTTAAAAGGAGGCCACAATGCAGTCTTAAAAAATTGCCTTCTGAGTCATCCGTAAGATGACAAATCCTACCCAAAAGCCTGGTCATTCCATCATCAACAAAACGGGTGGAAAGATGCCTCAAGAGACAACAAGCCCTGTTTTACTCCACAAACTAATGCAAATAGATATAGGAATAATAAAAAGATTTTTTCTCTTGTCATTCAGCACTTTAGCCTAAACATGTCTAAAATAGTAATTAAGACAGTTAAATCTGCTGCTACCCAAAAAAGTAAAATTAACAACAGCCAGAACATTAAAATCATCCAACACTCCCAACTGGAAGCAATTTTTGAGGGAACACTTTGCTTTAACGACAGAGTTAGTTCAGATCAGATGCCAAGATCTTAAAAGCTGAATGTGGGAATGAACATTTCCTATTTTTGTTTATGCTGACAGAGGCTATAAAAGCACAATACAGAATAGATTACCATGTATGGGGGCAAAGCAACCCCGTTCCTAGCGGGAGAGCACAGAAGAATGGAGAAGTGGCCCAGATGGGACAGGCAGAGCTTGTTCAACACCCACAGGCCTCAGAAACAGAGCGAGCCAAAGAACTGGGTCCAACTGCTCACGGAGCTGCTGGTGCTCTCATGGCTCCATCTCATGGCCATGTGCAGAGTTACAGGCCTGGCTCAGGAATTGTCCGCTGAGTTGGGAAAATTTGGGAATCCTGCACTCGGCTCCACCTGCGACACCCTGGCAGTGCCGCAGCCGACGGTCGTGCTGTCAATATCTTCAATATCTGCTTTTTAGTTAAAAGTCAATGCTAGCAGTAAAGCCCTCAAAGAACCTATTGAGGCTCTAACATCCTCACTCTGCAGAATAAACTATTTCTGCCACACAAACACAAATCTACCTATTTTTGTAAATAATGAAGGGTGAAGCTGGAAGGCACGAGGCGGTCGCTGGCGCCCGCGGCCTACCTGGCCCCTCGCCCCACGTGGGACAAGCGGGAGGGCCGGATGGCTTGAGAAGGAATTCCAGAACGGATTATGGTCCGGAATACTACCATGGAATGACATCAGCCCGGGCTGGCTCTGCGCGTATCGATACCCAGAGGGTGCTATTTATGTGACCTTGGCAGTATTAGAGAAAATGAGCAGTCGTCCTCCTACCACCTCCATTTCCAATCTGGCTCATTAAAAAGGAGAGAGAAACCATGCTCCCTCTTCAGGGGAGATGGAAGACATAATTACACCTTTTATATCCATTTTAGATATCCACAAACACTGCATTTTCTATGAAAGTATATGTGATGACTATAAATGAATGGCTATATTTCTATTATAATGCACATCATACATTAAGAGGACAGAGTAGGTTGCTTTGAAGATCAAAACTCCAAATTTTGAACATTTTTTCAGTCTCATTACTATAGTAACAGTCATTAGTACAGAAATAAAGACTACAACAAAAAAAGAAAAATGCAAAGGATTTGAAAGTCAGTGGATAGGAGCCAAAAAATGAACATTATTATGAAGAGAACTTATCAAAACAAAAAGTCATATATTACAGACTGGGAGGTACATCTCAAAATTTGTCATGGCCCTTGTTAATACCTTGGGTGTCTGCAGCACTCATCAGCTTTAATCAGTGGCAGAAAAGAGCTACTAGCACGAGACTGAAAAATCACAAGAGGACGGTTTTTTTAACCTCAATAATTCTCCCTTGCAGGTCTGGTCCTAACTAAACCTTTGGGTTTCTAGCAAGAAGCCTCTGGTCACCCTTTCTGGATCCCTCAGAGTAGTCCTAGAGCCATTCTAACAGAAAACTGAGCAAAAGTGGCTTCTGATAACCATTAAAACAAATTTCTAACATGTGGTAATATGGGGATGTTGCAATTTCCATACAAAACTGAAACCTTAATTTGATTTCACTGCATAGAAACATCTAGTGCTTCAACTTGTGCAGAGCTGAAGCCAGCAGGCAATTTTGTGTGTGATGATGTATCTGTTAGAGATAACCCGCATTGTGAATACAGGCACCAGTAGCACAAACCACAGACCCTGAGGGCAACGCCGTGATGTGCAGCAGTGCCTGAGATCCTGTGTCACCTCACAGGGATGCTCTATGAGCTTGCAAACTGCTTTTACAGAAAGCAATTTTGCTATTCTCTGCTGCTGTCACTAGATACAGTCAATATTTCCCATCTACCTTTTTTTTTTTCCTGCAGTTTACCTTACTTACAGCAGTCTATGGCACATAGCTCTCATGGTGCAGCTCCATCACAGCAGACTGAGCAACACACGTTCCAAATTGCTATACATTGCTGTAAATATCATCCAGTTCTAAAATAATGCAGGCTGGAAGGGATCTTTGGAGGCCATTTTAGTCTAAACTTAGCACTGTGCAGAACTAAAGTTCAAGTCAGAACAGGTTGAGACCCACCCTTAGGTGGGGGCTGAAAATATCCATCAAGGGAGATTCCATGATTTCTCTGGTGAAACTGTTCCAGTGTTGACAACCTTGGAACATGTTTTTTCTCCTTCTATCCAGACGGACCTTGCTGCAATCTGTGCCTGATGCCCCTTGCCCCTTGTGACCGAGCAATGAGCAGAGGAGCACAACCATGCTCCACTGCTAAGCAGTGCAATATACTGTCATGGGTACTGCTGATGCTCAACTGGTTGTCCACCAGGACTACCAAAACCCTTCTCTGCTCCTCACAAGCCAGTCCCAGCCCCTGCTGCTGCAGGGGGTTATTGCATTCCAGGTGCAGGGCTCTGCATTTGCCTTTGATCGGCTTCACAAGGTGGCTGTCAGCCCTTGGACGAGAAGGGGGAGCCAGTCCGATGTCCTGGGCATGGCAGCGCTGTCCACAGCGCCTCAGGGCTCCCTGCAACACGACGTTCCCTGAGCTCGTGGGGCTGCCTTCTGTCGCCCTGCCCGGGTTGCTGATGCAAGTGTTAAACCACAGCTGGTCTCTGAAGCTAAATACCTCTGCAACCAGCTGCCAGTCAGACTTGGAACCATTCCCAACTACCTTTTGAGCCCAACAGCCCAGACAATTTTTCCACCCTCTTTGTGTTTCACCTATCCAGTGTGTTTGTCTCCAGTCTAGCTGCGAGGATGCCACGGGAGACGTTGTCAAAAGCCTTGCTAAAATCAAGAAAAATGACGTGCACTGCTTTCCTCTGATCCACCCAGCCAGGCATCTCATCATAGAAGACAGTCAGGTCAAGTCAGGCACAATCTCCCATTTTCAAACCCGAGGTGACAATTCCCAGACACCTTCTTGTCCTTCATGTGCCTGAAAATTACTTCCAGATGGATTTGTGTAACAATCTTCCCGGAGGTCTGAGGTCAGGCTGACCAGCTTGTAAGTACATTGGATCATCCTCCCTGCCTTTTCTTAAAGATAAATAAAACATTTTCTAGTCATCAGGGACACCCCTGGATTACCAGGATCTCTTGAAAAAAACGAACAGCAATCCTACAATGACTCAGGCCAGCTCCTTCAGCACCCTTGAATCTGAATATGTCCAGTCATTTAAGCTGCACCTAACTCAATCCTATAATACAGTGGGTAGCACCTCTCTCCCTTAAACTTCCCTACTAAGGCAGAGACATTGACAGCAAAGATTGTCCTTTGTTACTAGGCCATAAGTCCCTTCTAACATTGGTCTGACATTTTCCTTGGTCTTCCTGACAGTGAAGCTGCAGACGTCTTTCCTACTGCCTTCCCCTTCCTCACCAGTTTCAAATCCAGCTGAGCTTTCACCTTTCCTAATCCCAACCCTTCCGGGGTGGGAAATGCTTCCACATCCTTCCAAGGGCAGCTCGTCCCTCCTTCTGCTCTTCATGCACTTCTTCAAGCGCTTCAGCCCACCCAGGGGGCTTTATAGCTCATAGATGAGCAGCATAAAGTCTTTAGTAGTTCTGATAAGCCTGTAATTACTTGCAAGGATAAACTGAATTTCTCTCTTAAAGGGAATGGTGCCTATAGTAGAAAGGACTGGTTCTGGAGCCCCAGATCATCACCAAAAGAAGAGCTTTCCTGCTGGAGCTCTGCTGGGGGGTGCAGGCTACAGAAATCTCCACAACCAAACTATTTTGCAGGCAAGAATGAGCAATGGAAACAGCACCACTCATTATTATCAAATGATTACACAGTGGCTTGGGAAAATACTCCAACAGCCCCATTAACTATGTCATCTTTTTCCTGATGCACAGTTATTTAAATTCGAGTTGTGTAGCAAAACTGCTTCACCCAAGAGAGCTCAATGCTATGTGCAAGTAAGCTCCTCTTTTACATTCTGCTTTCAGAGTAGATACATGTAAAGCATGAATGCACAGGAGCTGCCAACTGAGAAACTGTTAAGCAACTTTTTTTCTTGGAATGACTTGTTTTGCACCTCTGTCGAGTCAAACCTCTCTGTTGATGTGAGAACAGAGCACAGGGCAGTATTTCAAGGTTGGGTTATTCCAACACTGACATCTTCCCAGCTCAGGCATTTCTGTGATGACATTGTGGGGTACAGAGGGCAGAATTTCAGTGGAAATTGGGTCAGCCAATTGAGAACTTAATTAAGAAAACAAAGAACACCTCAAACTTTACCTGTAATCAAAGGAAAAGTATTATCATCAGCAACAGGAGTAATCAGAGCAATCAAACAGAAATAAAAATATATTACAGTGTTCAGCTCCAACTCTTCAGTGAATTACAGAAGTGCTTAGTTTACTACATATGCACAGTTACTCTGAAATTGATGGTATTAATAACTGTGCAAGAAGTTACCTAATTTCAAATAATAGCACTACTCAAAATGCCTTGAGTTTAATGAAAGCTTTTGCTGACTGGCAAATCCACAGTGGTATTTTATCACTTACTCTGAACCAGTTAATACTCATATCACACAAATGTTACATATGCAGCATACATACAGAAAATGCAACATGCTGCAAGAAAACAATTATGTAGCTGAGACAGATAAGCAAGAAAATACAGGTTTACTCCATGAATATTCAACCATCACAAAAACTTCTCCTAATGTTCCTCCTACCTAAATGCACCTTAGGTTTTTTTTTTTTTTTTTTTTCCAAGAAATATAAAATACTTACTTGTGTTTGGACATGTTTAGATCATGGCAAAAATGACTGAGAAATCTAGCATAAAATAAGTGCATAACTGCATGTTCCTTTCCTCCGATGTACAGATCCACAGGCATCCAATAATCAGCCAAGTCTTTATTAAAGGGTCTGAAAAACAAATTAATAGGAAAAAAGATAGAGAAAATAGTGTAGAAAAGAAAGATCAGCACTAATGAGTTAGCTCATCCTAACTGACAAAAAGCTACACAGCTAATGAAACTTTGCAGATCTTTTTAATTGATATGCTCACTAAATTATATACAAATTATACACTGAGAAACAGATCCACAAAAATTTTCATATATTTTAGATGTGCATCTAAAATTTCACCTGGTTATTTAAGAAAGTGACACAAATATTTGCCTGCTCTTTAAAGGATTTCTTTCAGAAAAAAACATGTAGCTACCATTTGAATTTCCTACTACTGATAGGTATCAAATTTTACCTTAAAATACCCTACTATTAAAATAAATACTGAACAAATATAATAAAAATAATACTAGAAGCACATTACTATTTAAATATGTTACTATTAAAGAAAATGAAAGATGACTATTTAAAAATATCCTTTTTTTTTTAAACTGGAACTTTGCATGGTGGCCATGAGGGGGCAATGGAAGATCTTGTCATAACTCCTGTCTTTCAGGAGAGGCGGACGGGCCTTTGTACTCAACCTGAAGGATGCTCCGTGGATTTACAATAAACACTGGATGCCTTTTAGAGCATTAAGAAGTTATAGAAAATGACCTGCACAGCTTCTTAGCATTGCTCACTACTTCATTAAATGTGGCTATGTCTCACGCAGCAGCCCATTACCTGCAAAATACCGTTTCAATGCAGGCTCTGTTTCCTCAACATTTATTTTATGTCCCCAGTCCAACACATACACTTGTTTCATTAGCTTGTTTGATTATTTCATCTGTAGTTTTTACATTGGTAACACTTTTTGCTTCTTCACAGACGAACTCAGAAGCAAACAGTGGGTCTGAAACTCATGTCATGCATGGAAAGAGCTAAAACCTACTGTCGTACACAGGATTCCAAAAACTAGTAGAAAATGTCTCCCAGATTCTAGGTATTTTAAATATGAATTACAAAAATAAAGGGCTTAGGTATATGCAGCTTAGCTTTAAAAAAAAAAAAGAAAGAAAATGCCCAGTGATCTAGTATAAAAGGCTAAAATTCTTCTTTCAGTATAAAACAGATTTAGTTGCACAGAGCTTGTTACTGTGACAGCTTGACATTACACCTGACTGTGTCATCTTCAGCTTCTCATCCATGCACAAAGATATATTTCAAACTGTCACCAGGGAGAAAGAATTCTGCATAATGTAAGACTATTAAAAACATATTAAAGTTAATGGGAGATGTGTCCACAGAAGAACTGTCTTACCGCACACAAAAGCAGGCGGCCAAAGCAGACAGACAATTGACTTTCCTGGTGTGGCCTTCTCAGTGAAGTGTCTATGTCTATGAATTAAAGCTACTTGGAGGCCACAAACTTAAAACAGAAATGTGGATAATTAAAATAGAACAGATCCTACCAGACTCATTCACCACACAAAGCTCATTACATACAATTCTCTGGGAAGAGTGAGGCCATTTACTAGACATTTTCTATCTATCTGTGCTTTATCAGTGCTATTTATCTATAGCTGAATAACCTAGAGGAAACACCCATCTGATTTGCTGCTACCGTATTGTCCTGCACGTGTGCTCTCAACGTGCCCAAGAAACAGTCATGACAGTTCAGCCAGTGATTGCAGGCAATGATCTCATCTGGTCAGCATATATAAAATGCTTCTGGACAACTGAGTCAGCCTCTGTGCTTTAATGCTGTGTTGGACACAACACCTCAAGGCAAAATCAGCAGTGCTAACGCAGGCAGACTATGGAGCAGGTAAACAGCTGAATAACTACATCTGTCTTCCCAAGCTCTTCATGCTGCAGCCACTAACACACAGCACAAGAAAAATCTCCTTTTATTAATTATGCATGTGGCCAAAGTAACAACACAGCAGGAACCTACCCCGACGCCACTGCACTTTAGGCCTGAGCAGGAGGAAGCAGCAAGATTTATGAGAATGCAGAAAGAGCTAATTGGAAGTGCCATTATGGGCAGCTGGACATTGCACCCAGATCCATCACTTACCAGTACAAAAACATTGTATTTCTACACATTGAAATACTCAGTCTCTTACTGGGGAGGCTACACTCAACACACAACTTAGCCCAAATTCAGAGAGAAGAGTTACAGTAGGAAGTTATCTTTATTTCTGATGGTATCCTCCACTAACATGTTCCATTAGCTTCTCAGCTGAACTGTTCCTCCAGGCCCTGTCTCATAACGGCCTCTCATGCAAACTCCTGCCCCTGCCTTGCAGCTCCCACACTTAGGCAGTTGTGCCTACAGGCTCTGCCCTCACAGACCTCCTGGAGGGGCACAGCCAAATGCCATCATTTTACAGCAACTCCTAGTCCACTCTGCGCTGAGCTCTGGGCCAGACGCCAGGTACCAAACCAGGGAAGCCCAGAGGCTCACACAGCCCTTCCGCAAAGGCAGGTGCTGGAAGCACCAGAGCAGCCAGCCTCTCTCTTCCTCCTTGCCCCTTGTCTTCTGTAAAGCAGCCCCGGCCACCGCGAGGCCCTGCCTGCGGGTCCCTCACCGTTCAGTGCTGTGGGGGTCAGTGTATCTCAGGTAATACCAAGCAGAGTCAACAAACGTGTCCATGGTGTCGGTTTCCCGCCTGGCGGCTGCCTTGCACCTGGGCAAGAGAGAAGGAAGGACAAGGTTATTTTTAGACGTGTGACAAGCTCGGCACGAAAGCTAACAGGTAGAGTGGCCATGAGAGAATTTACAGGGGAAACTGAAAGTCTGAACAGTTAAAGCAGTTAAACAGTATGTTGGAAACGTGTCCAGTGTAAGTAACAGGGCCAACTCTCCTTGCCTTTCCCAAACAAATCTAATCAAAATACAAACCAAAAAGAAAAAAAAAAGAAGAAAAAAAGAAAATGAAAAAAAAAAAAAAAGAAGAAAAAAAGAAAATGAAAAAAAAAAGCCTAGGTGGCTTTAAGATGAAGCAACAGTGGAAAGCTGCAAGACAGGGGGCTGCCCTCTCAATCATCCACTCATGGAAATGTACAGAACTGCCATTACAAAAAACAACTCTCTGCCTGCTATTTTGAAAAAAACCCCAAGAGCAAGCCAGTCCAAAAGCCCAGGCAAGCAAGCCCTGCCACAAGGTCGGCGGGTACTAAACAAGCATCACGCTCCCTATGTACCACCAGGGAAGCAGGAGCAGCAGGCAGGGTGCCTCTCACTGACTGTACTCAAGAAAGGTCTGTGAAGATTTCACTTCTAACCCCCCTAAAAATCAACTTAGCTTAATTTCACCTTCTACTGAGATGTATCAGCTCTTTTCTAGATCTCGCAGCACACTTTTAATTTGTGATTACTGCAAATCAATTTTTGCCAGGAGTTACATTGGCAGCACTGATGAACACAGCTTTAAAATGAGTTTGAAAAGCTTATTTTCCTGAATACAAATTATTTGCTTAATGGAGCCTATAATCCCATTAGCAATATTTTCATTTATTGTAAATGGTCCTTCTTTAAAACTCTAACAGTTAAAACAATGAGATTTCTCTAATATTAATGAGACTTTGCAACCTGTGACACACTTGCACCTAGCACAAGTAATAAAGAGTGGCCACTGGCTATTTAATTTAATTAGGTCATTGCTTTTTTTTTTTTCCACTAAACCTAACATTTTTGCTTAGTAATACCTCCTTTCATCAGTCACACTTCAGAATATGCTACTATATAATTTTAATAGACGTATGAGAAGAAATTTTCTATACAAAATATGAAAGTAAATGTATGCTTTACTAAAATACATGTCATTAACTAAGGTAAAAACATACTTATTTCCAGAGAAGCCCAGGACTCCTGCGGCGAAGCTGCCTCACTAGAAATGAAAAGCACTAGAAATGAAAGTACCACGCTAACCTGCAAGTGCTGGAAGAAAGTTATGATGATGTGCTAGGAAAGTGCTGCCTTCTGCAGGAGAGCCCCAGGGCCTCCCATGGGTCTGAAGCTCCTGCCTGGCAGCCCGGCAGTGTTTCTCCCACGTGGTCACTCTGCTAGAAGCGACGTTTGGTTCCACTGTTGAGGAAAACTTTACCTGGGATAACCTGGGATAACCCGTGTCCTGTTAGCTCCCTAGCAGAACCTGCACACAAGCTCTTGTGCACAGGATATCTAAGTAACCAGACATCTCATCTCCATAATGTGTTTTTCCCTACTATATGATTCAGGCTGCTTCTTTTCTGCAACAGCTGGATGATGTCGCCAAGATGCATATATTTACTACCTCCTTTAGTGTGAATTATATGCTGTCATGTATAGTTTACAGTCCATGTGGTCCTTCATGATAAAGAATTATATAGCAGAGCAAACAATTCTGTTGGGCTATTGTTAAGGTAATTAGCAAGATATTAGGTTCCTTATCATGAAGAAATAATTCATTAATCATCTTAGGCTTTAAAAGCAACTATGCTGGGTCAGACCAAACATCCTTCTAGCACAGTACCCTGTCTTAGGGTAACAAGCTGTCAGCACTTATGGAATGAGTCCAGGAAACATGTCCACAGGGATCCCCCCCAAGCCTGCAAGCAAATGCAGCATTTGCTTACCTTGGACAAGAGCAGTTCACCCACTCTGGAACATTTTCTAAAGGTGAGGCTCCCTTTCCTGTAAAGGTGGTTACCTTGGGTAATACCACAGGTAAGTCCTCATAAGGAACTGGGACAGTGCCACATGCCTGGCAGTGAATGATAGGAATTGGTGTTCCCCAGTAGCGCTGTCGGGATATTAGCCAGTCTCTTAATTTGTCACTCGTTAGGTCTCCTCCTAGTCCTTTACTTTTGGCCTGCTGGGTAAGAGCTTTTGAAGCCTCCTGTCGAGTCATGCCTGTGAACTGAGGGGGAGAGAGAGACACAAAGACAGAATTGGAAAAACAAAGAAAGAAAAAATCATACTTGCTACTGGTAAAAATGAAAAAAAAAAAGTCATAAAAGTCTGGAATGCCATTTCTGAGTCACAAAGTTTAAGTCTAATATCATTTTCCCCTTTCTCACTGTTTAGCATCCTCCTATCCAAGGGCCTATTCACATACCAGTCAACAGAATTATTTAAACCCTCTTAGTCTAAGGACAACGTCTTTGATGGCCTGAGTAGGACTAAGCCCTTCAGCTACTATTTGCAAATATCTGCAGTTATTGCTGATATTTTAGCAAGCAGCTGTATGCCAAAATTTCCAGAATATCACCAATGCAAGGCAGAGACTGAGGAAACATGGATGACAGACCAGCTTTCCATCTCCCCTGTGTGTGTTTGAGGCTAGGCTGTTCCTTGCTTCCAAATACCTCTTAACCACGTAGATCCTACCTGTCATGTAGTATCAGAAATAAAGGTCATATTCTGTCAAAGAGCATCTTTGCTAGGACGATAACTCACTATACAATTTGATTTGAGGATAAGATTTCCATGGCACTTAAAGCAGATATGTTTTTACCAGAAAGGCTTACAATATATTTCAGTGCATATATAAAAAAGAAGGAATTAACATTTAGCTTAAAAATATACACAGATAATGAAAGTAAGAATCAACATCTAAAATGAAATTAATTATATTTTACTTTCCATTATAAAACTCGGACAAATACCACATTTCTTTCTTATATACAAAAGATTAAGACTGGGAGCACCCTCATTTTATTGCTATAGAAGAACTAATACAGGTTATCATTAAGGTGTTCCTAGACATTTCATAGCATAGACCTTGCTTAGGCCTTAAGAAAACCTTTTAAAAAAGATCAAAAATCCCTAAAAAAAAAGTATTTGGCATTTTCCAGACAGCAATTTTAGCTTACATTTTTATTTAATGATGGGGAGGAGCTCAGTACTTGTGCACCTACCTCGCCAGAATTAATGACCTTCTCCAAGCCATTTGGCAGTGTCTCAATGACTTCAGTGAAAGAAATACCCAGATTCTTAGCTACGGCAGCATCTTCTGTGCTAGTGCTAGGAATTCCTAGAAAAGAGAAAGAAAAACAGCTCTGGAATGGAATGACATGGCTATTGGTCATTTAAAGGTACAATATTTTCTTTCTATGTCACTCCAGTCCACACAATATAATGATTTATATTAGCCCTCAAAAGCTTTAAAATTTAAGATCAATACAAATATCATTCAAGAAGGGAAAATGAAGAGGCAATAATTATAAATGTTTCATCAATATCTCAGTAACCCAAATGTCAATGACCCATCGCGAGAGCCTGAAAATTACTTGGCTCAGAAAAAGTCTAAGAAAACAGTAAATTTTAGATAAAGAGTAATAAATTAAATATATTACTTAAACATTAAACATTACATTAAACATAATGTAGAGAAGTACATACATTTAAATTTGTTAGGATGAGATACATAAATACTAAACAAACAGCATGAACAGTATTCCCCTTTTTTAAGAGTAAATTTAATCACTTCCTAAATTCATAGCTTATTAAAATGCATCACAGCACTACAGTCTCTAATGTTGCCATCCCTTTAATTTCTTATGAAGGACATGATTTGTTGTCGATTTGAAGAAAAATCCATTAAAAACAAAAATTTTCTTCTCAGAATACAAGTACTGAGAACACTTTGTAATAAGTAACACAGAAGTCAGAATATTTAAGGCTCCTGATGCTGTCTTTTCCTTTTGCATCTTATTATTTGGGACAGTCATACATTTTCAATACAAGTTCCTGTTCCAGCCCACACAGACTTCTTTTTATTACAGCAATTTACCAGCATCATAAAATGACACATTATCTTTAAATATTCCTCATTCATATTGATAGATGCTGACATCTTCCCCCTGACTTTGCTGCAGGCAGTTTAGTAGCTACTGTGCTGCACTTCGCAGGACTACCTTTCAAGGGGGGCAAGGTTATCTGCTAACTTTATCTTTTATTTATTATACAGTTGTACTCTGAAGTATCACTAACAGATCTATAAGGTCACAGGGAGATGAATCCTTCTGCATACTTTTTTTTGGAGGGATTATTTATTTAATAATTTGGATAATCTTGCATTTTCACTATCACCTTCAAAAGGCAAAGAAATCTTTAAAAATAACCCAATTATTAAAAATAACCCAAGTAATAGTTTGGTTAAAGCTATAGACAAAATACTCTCAAAAATAGTGCTGAGCATGTTAGGATTATTAACCTACAAACTACATTCAAAGCCAGTTTATAAGCATCTTTGTTCAGGCAATGAAATGTCTGCTGCTACTATAAATATATTAACTCTGTTAATATATGGAAGTTTGGAAGCAGATAACAAATGAAAATCTGGCTCCTCCACAACAAACAACTCCCTCCCTAGCAAAGTAAGGAATCGCCATTTAATCTTTTGAGCAGATGTACTCTCTTGCCATTTGAAGGCCCTATTACAGCATAATATACGTATCTTAATTTGTCAAAGAGCTCTGCAGTTGGCAACAGGTGGCTTCACAATATGCTCTACACATGGAAAAAGCAGACTCCCCGTTTTGGCCTCCTTTGCTTTTGCAAAGAGGATCCTATTAGAGCACTTTTGCACAACTCAACAGCTGGCAGCCCGAACTTCCTGGGAAGATCTGGGCTGTTTCCAGCAGACATAAGGCCAAGGCACATGCCAATGAACAACACAGAGGTTTCTCACGAAAAATAAGATTAGGCATCTCAATTCTTTGGCTCCTCGTACTCCAGAAGAAGTTCTGGTTCTCAAAGCAGTTTGGTCCAGAAGATTAAGACGGAGGCACATTATAGGCAAGGTCTGCCCTGCAAGGGTCTGCCAGGATATTTTTGCACAACACCCTGTAAAAGCAGCACCAAGGAAAAGGCACAAAGACCCTGCAGGGGCTCTGCAGAGTCAGCTGGTTTTGTTCAGTTCCGCTGGGTCTCCAAAGAGCCAACACTGGCAATACTGTAGAGGAGGCTGCAGCGCTCCCAGAGGAGGAAAGAAGAGGGGCAGAGGCACCAAAAAGTGACTGAAGGAGTAAGGAAGAGAGTGGAATGGGCTATGAAGAGGTAAAGAACTGACCAACATGGAGACAGAACGCTATCCACTATAGTCCACTATAGATGGACTATTAATCCATCCGAAATGAGACCACAGCGACTACTACTGCTACTACTATTACTACTACTACTACAAATTGATGAATTATAATAATAAAAACGGGAATACTTCCTTAAGAGATAAGCTCCAAGACAATTTGCCAAGCCTAACTGACAAGAATAATTATGTGCAATGAATTATTTTACTGATCTCAACACGATATAAACAAGAAAAAATCATATCTGGAAGTGTAGGGCATTAAACTACAGAAAATCTGTTTGAAATATTGTTCTCTAAGTGTGCATATGGGTTATGTTCACATATAAACATCCTACAAGTTTGGGACATTTTGAAAATGTTCATGTCAAACAATGGAGGAGTTCTGCTTTGATTAAGGACAGTAAAAGACCTCCAAATGCAGACGTGTTGTATGGAATCAATCCTCACACAATAGAGATTCTTAAGACAACTTCTCCTCAAATGTACTAATATTACAATATTTCTATTAAAATCTAATCTATCATCCTGCAAATGTCCTCCCAGATTCTACATAGCTACTTCTCCTTCCTTCTTCCTTAATTAAGAGCAATGTAGCTCCAAAGTCCAGAAAAAAAAGTCATTTAATTCAAAGATTTATCACAACAGCCTCTGGTAATCCAACACAGTTAACTGAAAACCAGACTATTCCATTTACCCACCAAATGCCACATACCTATCTTAGTATCTATGTAATTCTCAAAATCTGGTTTTGCTGAGATGACTACAGGAATCTCCTGATTGGTCAGCAAATTCACAGCTGTCACTGAAGTAAGGCAATCTGGAAATAAAGGTGAAGAAAACAAAGGTAAAATATGACAGTAATAAGAATATTGCTTAATATTAAAAGAAAACCTCAGTATATCTTAAACTTCATGAAGTTTAAACTACAGTTTGTTTAAATAAGAAAGAAAAATAAAAGCCAATCATATTTTAAGAAGCTGGGAGTTATTGAAAGCTTCAGTAAGTCTGACTGAAAAATAACTGTAATAAAAAAAAAAAAAAAAGAAGTAACAAGCACCTAAATAAAAACAGTGATGTTTGCATTGTAATAAGTAAACCCCAGGTCTTCAACATAAATGAAGTACTGCCATAAAGTGGTATGAACTGGTACTAAAAGCCAGAAAATAAGCAGCCCTCATTTCTACACTGAGAAACACAAACACAGAACTAAGCAAAACAAAACCCAAGTGATTCAGACAGAACTGAAAAGGAGCTATATACTATGCTTATGACTTGGCTTCTTACAGAAGGACACAAAGCATGGGAAGTACTGGTTTGTGTAGAAAAACAAAAGAAAAAAGAAAAAAAAGCTACATGACTTATGGATTTCTAAAGAAAATACTGATATTCATATTAGAGGTCATCTTGCATCGCTATCCTTGAAACTAGAGAAAAGAGTAAGGATTGTGATAATCTGAAACTGATTTATATTTTGTAGCTTTTATATTTTGTAGCTTTGGGAGAGTGAAAAGAAGAAACCCCAACCTGAACCCTCCTAAGTTCTGAGGATTGAAAACCCCTATCTCAGCTGGGAACCATGTCTAACTTCTTAGCACTTTGAAGCTCACACATAGTGAGATAAATCAGCACTTATTTTGCAAGGATAAGGGACAAAAATGGCATTTCTGGGACCTGACTCTAGATTATATTAATTAAAATACAGATGACTAAGAGCTTCCTTCTGCCTGTCTTCATAATTAAGCTGGGTATTACCTCAGGCTTGTACTGTTATGCACGTAATGTCTGCCTGAATTAAAATAAAAACATTTCAGAGAATAGGATTACTGTATCTCCTCTGTCTTATGAACACAAATACTGTATTTATTTTTGATAACTATTTTTTTCAAAATTTCGCTCTTTGAGATACTCATTTTGATGCTGTATTATCAATAATCTGGAGAAAATTCCTTCTGTTCAAACCACTGCACGTAGCTTTCATTCCCTGTTTAAAAGAACAGAAAAGGAATCATTTGGCTCTTTGAAAGCATCTAAGTCAAAAAGCCTGAACAGGAAACTGAGTAGGTAGCACAGCCTGCTTTTAAAAATAACTTTGCTCTGCCTTCAGCAAAAACATCAGTTTTATGCTGAAGCTGGAACAACAGTTCTTCAGTTTATGAGACACTCCTTCCTTTGCTCATACCATTATTATTATAGGGAGAGAATATTGTAACTACAAACACAGAAGAAGGGTTTGCTCAGCGCTAGAATGAGCTAACAAACAACGTAAGGGTCAAACCTTCATCTCACACATCCCACACAGGCAAAACTGGCAGACTTGCCAGACTGTAAATACATATATTGTATTTTGGCAATTTAGAAATTGAGTGTTTTAAAACGGATCACTCACCTCTATTTAAATGATAATAGCTTATCATGCAGAACCGTACTCCAAGAGCACAGGTATTAGAACTACCAGCTACTTTGCCCTACTTCTACTTTTTCTCTGCTAGAAAACTTCTAAACATAACTTCCTAACTCTTTAAATGAGAATAGACAACAAAGAAAAGGAGTTATGAGATTATCTGAGCTGAAAAGAGAACAACTAAAAGGTAAAATAAACCAACATATTCATGTTACTGTGAAATAAAAAATAAAATCTGGTTAAAAGTAAAACTGTTTTTTTCAAGGGAATCCTAAACATTTTTTCACTTGAATGTCACTATTCATGGCATTAATATGTACCATGGCTGAACTGGCTATATGAAATTCACATGCAAATTCTATTCGTATAAGTTATCCTCTTTGGAAAGTACTAGTCTGGTCCTTTCAAAACTTTGAATAATGCACAATCAAATTATCAGCCTATTTCAACTGCAGAATATGAATATATAAATACATTCACCCATAGCAGGAGTACACAGCTATACGAGAGCTAAGATTCTGGAAGTACTTTCACTTGGAAGCCTTTTATTCAATGTATTCTGGCTGACATCATTCTGGTTGCAAGTTTCTTATTTAGCTTAACCAAAATGTAAAGTTTATCATTAACAGAAGCAAAAAAGCTTTCAATTATTTCCACATTTTTTTTTTAATCTCTCGTTTTGCACTTGGACACTTTGGCATAAAGCACAAGATTCAGCACAGATGCAGGTGCTTCCACGGATGTGCCTTTCTCAGGGCTCACGTGTTGATTTGGCAGAACAGCAGGAGCTGTAATTTGTTCCTTTGTTTCTTAATAAGAATTCTCCAAGGTACTGCTCTCCCTTCCTCTGGGACAAGGGTTCTGCATACTCCACACATTCAAGCTTTCAAGCTCTGTTTTTTCCTGCTAACGAGGAAAATAATTTGTCTAGATTATAGAAGTGAATTGCTCAAAAATAAAGCAGGGTCTGTGCACGCAGAATATTTTTCCTCAAGATTCCTGCTTTTTGCTGTTGACACGGGATGCTATACACATGATGAACCCACCTAATAAATATTAAATAGCAGCCTTAGGAAAAGATATACACAGAGAATATATTTTGTATTTATTGTAATTTTCTGGACTTCCATATGACAAAAATGAGTTGGACAGGGACAGTCAGTGCAGGCAGGCACTACCAGTTACCAGCAACTAAGGAAACCAATTACCACTACCTTATTTGTAACCTCTGTACAAGACAGTACCTGCCGTAACGGCCATATGGGCTACTCTGAATTCACCCCACTGGAACCATATATGAACCGAGGATCTGTACAGCAGAGAATTATTTGCTATATATCAATGATCTACTCAGCTATGCATCAATGATCTCTTTCCCTCTCTATATTCCCTGTGATGGGAAGAGATCACTGCTGGTGCAAGAGCTGGTTCTACTAGCGCTGTCCTGACGACAGGCTCCCCACAGTGGAGAAATTTCCCAGGGGGTTCCCACAGACTATTCACTTCCACTGCAAAACAAAATGATAATCTGGGTCATTACTTTGCAAACTATGAGGTCGAACATAGGCCCCATTGCCCTACTCTGAAGGCACGAGAAGCTGGAGTGATACTGCTTGCCATGTGCAAAGAATCCAAAGGAGCTGCTCCCTCTCAAGGGCGGCTGCTCATGCTCAGCTGGGCACATATTTTGAAGGTAATTCTCTCGAGTGGTTTCACTCTTACAACAAAATGCAATCTAAGAAAAATGTCACCTTTCCCTTGGATGAACTCCCTCTGGAAGACTTCCTTCAGGCTGCTATTCCCGTGCAGCAGTCTGTGAGCTGGTAAGATGTATAAATGGGAAGCTCCATAAACGGCTTCAGGCGTGTAGGTGTAGGCTGCTATCTTCTCTCCTGTTATTTTACCATTAACCTAATAAAGAAAATATCCCAGATGAGTTTATCCATTTTTTCTCCATTAGAAGTGCAGCCCTTCTCTTAGAACATTTTTCCATTGCAAGTTTTGATACAGATTTTCAGAAGCAACTGATACAAACAATTTACCTAACAAAATCTAAGCTGTCTCAATTTGAGGTTCTCAGAAATTCGAGTTTAAAATAATAAGCTAAATTTCAGATATTGGCCGGAGCAAACAGACACTATAAAGCTCCGAAGCACGAGGGCTGAACTGCTATTAGAATCTCTGCAAATCTCTTTTGCTACTCTCACATCTGAGATAACTTCTGGATCTCCTCAGAAGAGGACATCCCATTGTTTACTAGCTAATTTTACTTTTCTTCAGGCCTCAGTCTGCTGCGCAGAGAGATGCTAAAGCCCAGCTAGAGCCCAGCAGTCCCTCTCCATTCCACTTGTTACCTCTCAGCACTGCTCTGCCCAATACCCCGGTTTCCAGGGATTCTCACACGAGCTGCCGGCTGCTTTGGCACTAGGGCAGCGCTGGCCCCGAGCTGGCTGTGTGCACTTGCACCCCCCTGCCCCACGCAGCCCTCGCCCTTGCGCCAGCGGCACCGCGAGCGGCTGCCCGACCTTGAGCGCGAAGTCAAGGAAGCTCCCGGAGCAGTCGCCGATCCAGTTCGCCTGCATCTCCTTGATGCCGTACCACGCCGGGAGGTCGGACAAAGCCTCAAACATAGCCTAAGAAAATGAAATGAAATAAAATAAAATAAAATAAAATTTAACTTTTGTAAACATATAAATGAAGAGTTTCGATTACAACCAGCATCAAAACGATGAGGCGCTGAGGAAAAGCAGAGGGAGAGGCATTTTCGTACTGCTGCTGCCTCAAATTCATCCCCCCAGGAACAAAATGTACATGGCACAAGCCACGGGAATGCATGTCCCTAACAGAGACCCTACGGTTATTAAAAGAGACCTTCTTTAGCTGACATTATCCCATGTAAAATAATAATACAAAGATCAGAGCAATAAAGGTGTATTATTATGGCACCATTAAATTCAAAATGTAAATTTATTACATGAGCTTTTAAGTAGACAGTAGAGAATAAATTAAGTGCAGGCTCCCTCATTGTCCATTACGTCCTACTCTCCACTATAGCCTACTTGTACCTTATATATATAGTTATACTCAACAAGAAATATATCTATATATTAATGAGTTTGCTGATGTATGGCACTGGCAGCACAATGAAGAACTATTCCAGGTACTTTGTCTAAAAAATTTGAAAGTATATTTTAATGAAAGAACATATAAAAAGAAAAGGAGAGGAGGTACAACAAGGAGAGAGAAGAATAACTCAAAGCTAATCTCAGTTTTCACTTCAAATACGTCACATTTGTGTTATGAATACCCCAAGACTGTCCAAAATCTTTACTTTGGCACAAATACAAGCAGAGGTATGAGTCACTCGGACAGATGGTGGATATGCTGAACAATTACAGTTAAAAATCTAAGAATAAGACAACACGTTGAGCTGTTTTTCCTTTACCTGTACAACTCAATACTGAATAATACTCAATAATACAACATTGAACGGGCAACTGTTTATTCTGCCTTAAATTCTAGCAACCTGCAAGGATGGATGGCACCTATCAGGCTCCACTCCTAAACTACTTGGTGGGAAGTTAGAAACTTACTGAACATGCAGTTTTTTCAACTTCTATATTTAAAGCACACGATGAAATATTTTCAATAACAGCTGCATAGAAGATGTTACAAGGATTAAATACTGGTTATGGCTCCATCAAGTGTCTATCACTCAAAATATAATAGAATGCATGCCATTCAGAAAGCACAGCATTCCACCATTTGGGGTTATTATTGCTTTTTTATATCCTTAAGAAGCAATTTCATTGTATATATATATATATAAAAATATATATACAAGAATAGTAAGGATTTAAATAATATTGCAGCTTTGATGCACTACTGCAAGTATGCAGCTCCATAGGGAATGACAAACTGCCATTATTCTCATTAAAATTTAGTGTCCCAGAGACTAGGGAGCTTTATCTGCCATGAATAATCCACGTACACACCTACTGAACAGCTACCAAAGAATAAAGAAAATTGGATATATGCCCCATACTTAGGCATATCCATTGAACGCATTTTATGCATTATAAAAGTATGAAATTGTGTCAATATATACAGACTGGCCAAACACATCAGCAAACTTTTATGAAATCCCCTGCTTGGCTGTTCATTCCAATCTACACTGCATTTTCCTGGCAGAGGCAACGCAATGTGCTTGTGCTTTACTGACATCACAAGGTCCACAGCCTTCTGCCAAAACTGTCTTCGCAGAACTCGCCAGAGATTCTTCACCGCAGGATTAATCTGACAAAATCCTTCCCACCAACGTGCCAACGGTTTTCATGGGTTTTCATGGGCTGTAGCTCGATTTCGCCCGGCTCTTCTGTTGCTAATGCAATTGCTTCCTGCAGCTGAACACATTGTACAAGGGCCAGCTTGGTTGCACCTGAGGGAAGACGGCAGAACTAATCCTGTGTGACAAGGGCGCCCAGCAGCGTCCACCAGCACCAGCACCTCACACGCTGCTGTGTCCTCCAACGCTGTGCTGTGAAACAACAGGCCGACACCCTGAACGTTTCCAGCGTGGAATTAGGGATCTCGACTCTTTGTCCTCAGAGTGCTGCTCTGGTTTCTTGTCAAGGCTACAACTGGCAAATGAAGAAGAAAATCCGCAACGCGCAAAACAAAATCTTTACGTGGTGTGGGAGAGGCAAAGGAAGCAGGATATATAGTGCTTAGGTTTGTAAGTGTTACTAGAGGGTAAATCAACCTACAATACAGACTAATAGGAAAGCAGAGACACTCATTAATGTACACATTGAGGCACTTTACACTCAGAAACAACTGCAGTACATCCTGTAAAAATAAGCCTGTATAAATACCTGTTAAAAACATTTATTATTTTTGTTTTTAAAAGGTATGCCTAACTACTTAGGTATAAGAAATTTGATGAATGGAAGCTCGCAGTTAGCACAGAAATTCTTCAGTATTATATAGATATTTTAAAAAAATATAAATTTCACGATTTTTATTTCCAAATTCTTTTCTATTTATCACTGTCTTTGGTAAACAACTTCTGCAAACATTAGATTAGTTCCATGAACTCTGCTGCCAAGTGACATTACTATTTTATAAATACTGTTGTGCGGGATACGGTCCTTAAACAAAAATTCTGACCCTCAAAGGCAAGAATGTAACTCCTAGTCACCCGTGCCATAAAATATGTTCACTACATAGATTTGTCATGGTTCAGGAAGACAGAAGAAAACTTCAAACACATGCATCTAATGACAAGAGAAATGACTAAAAAAAGGAAACAGGTAATAAAAGCACCATATAAAATAGAAAAAAAAAATTATGAAGTTATAAAAATTAGTATCAGAATTTTAGAATTTTTAAATTGTTTAATAAAAACAATAAAAGCAAAGACTCACAATGTTGAGATGGTCCCTTTTTTAAAGAGACAGTAGTTTGGAGATTGTTTTAAAGACAAAGTAAAAATTTTAGGAAAATTTTAAGTGCAAGACAGTGAACACATGAAATGTAATGAATGAAAATTAAAGACAGAAATAGCCAAGGTAACTGCTAAGTCCACTTCGGCTGTCTTTTAGATTTGAAGACAGACTCAAAGCCACATTTAGAGCGAAGAACAACTTAAAGGCTGTAAAACCTTTATGAAAGTTTGACTTAGGGGCTGAAGAAGTTAGAGATTCAGGATAAAGGAATGTTTCACTGCTTCATTTTTTCAAAAATCGAAATTCTGGCATTTCTAGAAGTTGAAAAACAACTCAGATTATCAGAGACTCACAAAATCAAGATAAGTTTGCTGAACGATCTTTACAAATACTGATGACCAGGCCTGAAACTAGAAATAAAGCACCACAAAAGTGGTAACAGATCTCTCATACCCAGTTATCATTCTGTTGAAGAGTTACAGAAGGAGCTTCAGCTTAGCAGTCTCTGGGCAGAAGGAAATAAGTAAATCCACAGAACAGAAGGGCTTTAGACTTTCCTAAGACTCAGTTCCAAATTCCTCAGTTCTCAACGCCAACAGATCCTCCCCATCTGCATGCAAAGAGGGAGGATTCTGATGAGCATGTAAAAAAATTCACTCTCTGACTGACTTTGGGAAATACTATTTTAAATATGATTGATGCCTGACACTACTTGTATATGGAAAGAGAAGAGTTTCCACATTTTCATGAGATCAAATGCAATAAAGTGAAAAATCTCAGAGTGAGCTATAAAGCCAAATGTTTATTCTACTTTCAGTGAAGACACTTTAATGGATCTTGACAAGTTTGTAACATAAAAATGACACTAAAATAAAAAGGTCTTCAAATGGTTTTATTTCAAAGGCATCCAAATCATTAGCAAAACAAAATTGTCTTCTACCAAATTAAAATAAAATTAAAATAGAAAACACTGCTGTTAAAGGACAAACTTTGTCATGAGTCAAGGAAATATTCAAGAACTGTATGGATTAAAATGAAATTCTTCACAATATTTGAACAAGTTCCCAAAAGAGTATGCATATATAAACTAAAGATTAAAGGAGATCTTTTACTACAATTTAATATAAACTAAAGTATAATAATCTAAAACTAGGCTACCCAATGCTTTATTTTGTATTCTACTGCAGTAGCTCCAAGTGTGATTATGCCTTGTGCCTTCTGCTGAGAGTTTTTAATCTTATTTCGTTATTTCTTTATCTTCAGTAATTTCTGTCTATCCCACCATTGGTTACTTTAGGCTTTTATTTCCCATTTGTCAAGTATTCTGAGAACATGTTAAAAAGCAGAAGTAATACAGACACAGTACATGCTTCAAGTATTCTCACAAATGGCTGAGTTTTCAGTTGTTTTTGTCTATCCTATAATTTGTAGTCCACAAATGTCTCTGGTTTGACTAATGTCTTTGGCTGAACTAGGTAAAAATCAGCAAAATAAATGAATTCTCAAAAGCAGAAAGGAAATTCATTTTTTACTCCCGACTTCTTCTCACTGTAGCAATAATGAAAGAGAAGATATTCCCTTTTGAATGCACTAAGGTAGAGCTCGTGGTCCCTCCCCGGAGCGAGCGCTCAGCTCGGCTCAAGAGGAAGGGTCTCAAAGCGGATCAGGCCCATTCTGTTGCAACAGGACAACTGTGAGATAGACCCCAAGCATAGGAAGTGAGAAAAATCACACATAAAGCATGGGGAACTAAAAAGCCGCCATTCCTATTCTCTTCACAGTGACGAGCCGTTACTTCATGCTATGAAATTCAAAGTACTGTCAAGATCCTTAATATACTGAAATGCAGTACTTTGGTTTTATTACAGGGTAAAAAAGCAATCATTCTGTTTAGTATCTCAGAAACAAAACAACAAAAATTCAAGAAAGTGCAATTAGGTGAAGCAATTCCAATGATATCCAGAGCAGATAAAGGGGCTGTCAGATGCAACACAAACCCAGGGAAAAGCTGGAGAGTGGTGCTTCCCCGTCACGGAGTCAGCACAAGGTGAACATTTATGTTCCCTCGCTCTGCAGAAGGGCTGAAGGATGTTTCTTGAAACGGCAGCACACAAAGTAAGAAAGAGCACTACTTACTTGTACGGCAGCTGTAAATGAGAGAGGCGGAATTTTGTAGGCCTTGCCAC